ATTTCAGACACATAAGACTTGATTCAAGGTATTCCTTGCAGTACCTACCACGTTTGACTTCTCTGTATACAACCGTCTTTCCAATTCGGCTGTCAGCAACAGACTAACTAAAACAACCGATTGTCTCCTTATTTATACCTACAACAGGTCACATGACCTGCAGAGAACCTAAAGGAAACAAGAAACCGGAAGTCAGTGCGACTACCGAGAAATGAAAGGATAATATGATCTCGATTACAGTTTTTGCTTCAGAAGTTTGCTAATGCTGCTCTCGGAAATATTCGTTCAAAGAAGTATAGGTATTGTTCGAAAATACACAAGTGTCGAAAATGGTTGAATATTTTGAAAAGCAGAATAATGCCAGGGAAAAATAAATTTTTTATCCCTAGATAAAAATCAATAGACGCACTATATAGATTATTTAAAATAAATCTATTTTTTTATTTCCTTTGAAAACTTTGATGATCGTGATAACATTTGGCTAAAACATGAGTATGATAACTTTGAGAAAAAAAATTTTTCACAAGTCCATGCGTAAAATATCACGCGAAACCTCTTTAGAGGTCTTATACCCCCCTTTTTGTCACAATTTGTTAACGTGTATGGACAACTTCATAATTGGAGAATGTGTATGGAAGACCGGGGCTGTATTATATGAGGAATAAACATTATATGCAGAGTTTTCTTCATTATATGTTGTACTATTTTAATTATATGAAGTAGTTTTTAAAGTATATATTGAGCAACTTCCATTATACACCTGTCAGATCATCTTTCATTATATATTGTAGATATATGTATGTCATTATATTTTGTACAACACCCGTTATATTTATATAAAGTGTTTTATCATAATATGAAGTGCTTTAAACATTTAACAGCCCCCCCCCCGCCAGCAAATCGTCAGTATGACGTTCCGTAAATCGTACGAAATTCATCCATATACGTATGCTATTTTGAATACCTCTTACAGAAAATGTGTAAGAGATATTGAAAAAAAAGTTTGTTTGAAAAAAATAAAAAGTCTGTAGATATATCCAGATGCAAAATTGTCCTATTTTAATATCAGGCCAATTTTTATACTCTTTGACTTAAACTTTTTAGGAATAAAAAAAATGGTACGGAATATTTTCGATTCTGATAAAAGACATTCAAGACTTATTGACATCATTAACTTTATTTTTTTTTTGTTTTTTCAGAAAAGTTTGATAGAATGGGTGAATACAGAATTTGGAAAAGTCCAATATCAGGTAAGGAAAAAGTACAGTATATATACATGTATATTCTTCCTCTCGTGCATATATACCTATTGTCACTGCCGACAATATGGCCCTTTGATGAGCCATTTTTGTCCTCTTGCGGAATGGACGACAAAATGTACATTTACACATTTGCACATTTTATCGTCGAAATATTTTGTTAAAGAATTATATTAACTAAGGCCGATGGAGAGATATTGATACAAACATACATGTAAATACAGGCAGTTGTGAAAAATAAAGTGTATGGTAGAAAAGTCAGCTTTTCTCATTACATTATATCTATCATCCGTCTGTAAACTTTTGGCATATTCAGCATTTTATCAAGTACTACTCTGCTAGCCCTAACTTGCCAAGAAGTACCGGTATACATTGATAAACTGGATTTAAATTTCTTAAAATGAAGGATGATGCTTTTTGTGTATGGAAGTGGTTTAGTAAAAATTAGATGACATCTTCTATACATCTTTTCAAGAACCGTTGGGTCAGAAAAGTTGAAACTACGAAATAGGTTTGTTGTGAGATGATATGAGCATATCTTGTTAAAACTAAATGCTTTTACTTTGTTTTAAAATCCCTACAGGTCATTATTTCAACTTACTTTTTTCTCCGAAAAAATGAGCCTTGTACTGAATTCTCAGACTGGATAACACATGTAAACTTCCTGGAAAATCTCGGGTATTACGAAATCAGATATATGATTAGATTAAACCTGTCCAATAAAATCCTTTCGTTACAAACCAATATAAACAATCCCTCGGATACAATGCAAATGAAAAATTATACAATACAAATGGAAAATATAGAATACAAATTAAAAAAATTGTACAATACAAATGATTTTTTTTACAATATAAATGAAAAATTATACAATGCAATTGAAAAATATAAAATGTCAATGAAAAATTATACAATGCAAAAAAGCAAATAAATTATATAATGCAAATGAAAAATTATACAATACAAATGGAAAATTATAGAATGCGAATGGCAAATTACTGAGTATACAATGCATAAAAATTATACAATACAAATAAAAAATTTTATAATACAAATGGAAAATTATACAATACACAAAATATCATACAATACAAATGGAAAATTTTACAATACAAATGGAAAAGATCGAATATTGCAACGTTTGACTTGACATATACTACATAGAAATATTCTTTCAAAATCTCCTTCTAAAGATATAAACAATCCCTCGGATACAATGCAAATGAAAAATTATACAATACAAATGGAAAATATAGAATACAAATTAAAAAAATTGTACAATACAAATGATTTTTTTTACAATATAAATGAAAAATTATACAATGCAATTGAAAAATATAAAATGTCAATGAAAAATTATACAATGCAAAAAAGCAAATAAATTATATAATGCAAATGAAAAATTATACAATACAAATGGAAAATTATAGAATGCGAATGGCAAATTACTGAGTATACAATGCATAAAAATTATACAATACAAATAAAAAATTTTATAATACAAATGGAAAATTATACAATACACAAATTATCATACAATACAAATGGAAAATTTTACAATACAAATGGAAAAGATCGAATATTGCAACGTTTGACTTGACATATACTACATAGAAATATTCTTTCAAAATCTCCTTCTAAAGATATAAACAATCCCTCGGATACAATGCAAATGAAAAATTATACAATACAAATGGAAAATATAGAATACAAATTAAAAAAATTGTACAATACAAATGATTTTTTTTACAATATAAATGAAAAATTATACAATGCAATTGAAAAATATAAAATGTCAATGAAAAATTATACAATGCAAAAAAGCAAATAAATTATATAATGCAAATGAAAAATTATTCAATACAAATGGAAAATTATAGAATGCGAATGGCAAATTACTGAGTATACAATGCATAAAAATTATACAATACAAATAAAAAATTTTATAATACAAATGGAAAATTATACAATACACAAAATATCATACAATACAAATGGAAAATTTTACAATACAAATGGAAAAGATCGAATATTGCAACGTTTGACTTGACATATACTACATAGAAATATTCTTTCAAAATCTCCTTCTAAAGAACATAAGGATAAGACGAGATGACTTTTGTAAAAGCTTCATTACATAGTGTGCGTTATTTTTTGTACGCAGGGGTAATTAGGAAGCATACAAAATATTCTACCTTCAATAAATCAGTGCTATATTATAACATCAATAGTACACAGGGAAAAGTGAGTCACATGATTTTCATGCGATTGCCTTTTCGCATGGATTCCGTGGGGAAATCATATAAAAACCATGCGAAAAGTTCCATATACGAATTTCATGCGAACGTCCCCATACAATATTCATGCGACATTCGTGCGATTTTCATGTGACTGAAATTTCGCATGATATTTACGCAAATTCCAATTTATCATTTTTTCATGTAAAAATCGTGCGAAATTCGCATAAATATTTTGCGATATTCATATATTGATATTCATATATCAAGAAAAAAAGGCAATGAACAAAGAAGTTGAACATTTAAATATTTTTTTTTATGTTTTTCTGCCACATTGATTGATAAAAATTGCCAGTCATATTGCTTTGATGTTCCTAGGTAATCCGTTGACTTTAATGATGGCTGTGTTTACGGCAGTGTTTCAGTACGTCTGTTTTTCAGTCTTGTGTCCTGACGAGCGTTTCCTGCAAAGAAATTTTAATTATTACAAAATACTATTACCCACACTAACATTCCAATTGTTTAGGTCAAAGGGACCAATTCCTAAATTAGGATGACATTAACTACAATAAATTCAATAATATCACTTGAAAATGTTTAGGCAACTTGTATAACTGAGTATGTGAAATGGTACTATATATGTTTAGAGCGAAACAGAAGGCCATGTGTTTAACACATTTATAACTGCAAAGTAGACTTTAAAGGGATTTGTCAGACACCATACAGTGTGTTATTGACCTAGATACTCTATATATCGGGTTGCTGTTGAACCAAATGAGATAAAATGTTTCATTTTGATAGTGATATTCTGATTGGATGACAATAAACATGTCATTGATGGATTTTTAATAAATTACATACAAAAGTACAATCCTGAAAAGATTGGTTTTTTTTATCTGCATTGCCGTCAATCAATTAAATGATTTCGTAAGAACCTCTTTGCCAAACTAAGTAATACTTTTTCTCAATCACTGATTAGAATATATTATATATTTGAATGTCCCTACCTTGGGTTAAATCAAGAAGTGAATCAAAAATAAATGAAAGACCGTCAATAAGTAAGTGTTATACGTTTCCTAATTAAATAGACTAGCACCAGAGACAGGTCGGCCACTATCCCCAGCACTAGCTATTTTCCCTGACTTAATATGTGAGTGCTATGGTCGGTCACAGTGGACGACTACTCAGGATAATAATAAGATAGGCAGACTACCAAAGCAGCTTTGACTCTATTCGGGCCACTGAATGAATTGCCTACTTATCTTTCTAAACACTTAAGCCTTTTATTGAACCTTATACTTACTATCCAGCTTCTACACTCTCGGATAACTTTAACAAGAAAGACACAGATTCACTACATCCCGGGTTTATATACACATAGGGTGTTCTATTTGTAAGGGGTGTCAGGTCATTCCATTTTACGAGGAAAATATGGTCATAAAAACGTTTGATTCAATACAAAAATAACATTTCATTACCCAAGCCTCTGGGTACATTCGTCCCGAATGATAACAACAATTTTACTTTTTTTTATTTAATTTTTTTTTTACAAATTGAACACTATCTGTGTTAACTATTTCAAACAAATACATTTCAGCTATGATTAAGTCAATACAAAATTAATTTTTCCTCTGTAATTTCCTCTATGTCGATATCACCCTGTCTGAATTTCCAAATTGTTTTCTTCGATATTTCTGTCGCAAAATCCGTCTGTGTACCAACATCTGCCTTAAGTTTATCATCGAGGAAACAACCTGATGTCTGAGTCATTGTGGACATCTTTGCCGTTTCATCCACTGCTTGTGAAGTCACAAGGGAATGGTCATCTTGAGGGTGGACACGTTTTCCTGGCAGAGATGGCTTTGTTTTCTTTCTGAAAACCCGACCTGCAAGTAAGTCACTTTCTCTTGGCGCATCCAAAACTTCACCACCTTTCTTAAGAGGATTTTCTACTACTGTAGATGGCATCTCATGACTCTCTTCCAGTAATTCACCTGGATCCTGACTTATCCAATCCTCATCACCTGAATCAGAAACATGGTCATCTGTGTTATCTACATCATCTCTATTCAAATTGTCCTCTTCTCTTTTTTGACCAATTTTATCAGCCACCCCTCCCAAGGGTATTGAATCTTCTAGTAATCCCTTATGAGCTCTTTTCATGTGGCGTTTGACGTTGCATTCCTTCTGTGAAGCAAATTCACAAAAGGTGCAGGCATGCTCCTGCTGTGCACACTCCACTACATGATTGGTGAAGTCTACGTCTCCATGACAGAGTACAGAACACATGGGACATTTTCTTGAATCGATACGCTTTGTCAACTTTGTCTTCACCATGATTGGATCTGAAATAAATGAACAAACATTATATACAAGATACTATAACTGTACTCAATACTAATAATCTGTCTCATAATCCTTTAACCAAACAGGTGGTCGTCTACTTCTGAATTGTCTTGTAGGCAAATCAGCCTCTTTGTCTAACACTTGACTTTCATCTGTTGTTTGCACCTGACTTCCGTTCTTTATTTGAGAATCTTCACTTATACTTTCATTGTCATCTTTTCTTGTCTCATTATCTGGAAGTTGTTCATTAGTGACGGACCTTGGAATGCTTTCAGCAATGTTTTCACTTTTCTCCTACCAAAGTTTGACTGCATTTCAGTCTCATTCTGTCTACATGGATTATTTGATTTGAACCGTATGGACCACAGTCAACCATATATGTCACCTCAGACATTTTCTTGATTACTTTGTAAGGACCACGCCAATAGCTAGTGAATTTAGGAGACTGCCCCGATTTTCTTTTTGGAAAATAAACATAGACTTCATCGTCTTTATTAAACTTTCCTCAGTTCAACTTTTTGTCGTGGTAATGCTTTTGGCGTACTATTTCTTGGTTTGTATTGACACGGACAATTTTGTGGGCATTCTCAAGTCTATCTTGAAGTTCCCAAACCCACGTATTCTGTGGTATTGGTTTTATTGATGAAGGTACTTCATATAAGATGTCCAAGGGAGTACAGACTTCCCTCCCCAGCATCAACGCATTAGGTGAAAACCCAGTGGTTTCGTGTATAGTAGAACGATATGCCATCATGACATATTGCAAGTGTTCGTCCCAGTCGTTATGGTTCTCATTTACAAAACTACTAAGCATCGTTGTCAATGTACGATTGAATCGTTCCACCATACCATCAGATTGTGGATGGTATGGTGTTGTATGTGTTTTCGTTATGCCCAACAAAGAACACATTTCCATGAACAACTTGCTCTCGAATTGCCTTCCTTGATCGGAGTGCAAGACTGCCGGTACCCCAAACCGAGAAATCACCTCTTCTACCAAGATTCTTGCAACTGTGCGGGATTCCATGTTTGGCATGGCAAAACTCTCCGTCCATTTCGTAAAAAAATCAGCAACCACTAAGATATATTTATTGCCATTTTTTGTAAGTGGAAGCTCGCCCAAAATGTCCATAGCTATCCTTTCCATAGGATATCCCGCGTGTACTATTTTCATAGGTGCGCACTTTGTTACATTGTCACTCTTTCTCTTTGCACAGAGTTCGCAACCAGCAATGTATTGGCGAACATCACGTTGTAGTCCTGGCCAGTAATACCTTAGCCGTATTTTGTGCAAAGTTTTCTTAATACCTAGGTGTCCTGCCGTTTTCCCATCGTGATATTGCTAAAGGACACTCCGACGCTCAGAACTTGGTACTAGATATTGATAAAATATCTGATTTGTTGACATGTCTTCCCATTTTCGACAAATGAGGTCATCTTTTACGCAGAGTCTGTCCAACTGAGAAACCAGGGACTTCAGGTAAAAACTTTCACCTGAAACAGAGACCTTACTTGGAATGGAACCAAGTTCTATCCATGAACGTAGCTTTTGAAGGTCGGCATCAGCTTCCTGTGAGGACTGCAATGACTCAGTGGTACCTATTTGTCTAACAATGGGGTCAGTAGACTCTTCTCTCCAGTTATCATCATACCCACATTGTTTACAAGGTAGCCTACTCATGGCATCTGCATTTGCATGCAATCGTCCTGGACGATGCTGAATTCGAAAGTTATATGTGGACAACACATCAATCCAGCGCGCAAATTGTCCTTCGGGATTTTTAAACTGCATAAGCCAGCGTAAGGAACTGTGATCAGTTCTAACAAGGAACTCTTTGCCATACAAATAGTGCTTAAAGTATTTCACAAAATATGTCACAGCCAGTAGCTCTTTTCTCGTTACACAGTAACGTCTCTCGGATTTTGACAAGCAACGACTGGCATAAGCACACACTCTTTCTTTACCATCAATGATCTGAGATAAGATTGCTCCAATAGCCTTATCACTTGCGTCTGTGTCTAAAATGAATTCTTTGCTGAAATCAGGATGAGCCAATATTGGATCAGAAGTGAGAGCTGCCTTAAGTTTTTCAAATGCATCTTGACACTCCTCTGTCCATTTGAAATTCTTGTCTTTGGCTGTTAAATCATGCAATGGCTTTGCAATAGCAGCAAAATTTTGAACAAATTTTCTATAGTAACTGCAAAGACCTAAAAATGATCTCACTTCTGACACATTGCAAGGTGTAGGCCAGTCTTGGACTACCTTTGTCTTAGATGGGCTTGTTGCTATGCCATCAGTTGACACTATGTGACCCAAGAATTCTACCTGACTGGCAAATAAAGTACACTTGTTAGGTTTCAATTTTAAGCCAGCAGATTCCAGACGATCAAAAACGCTACACAAGTTGTCTATCATTCCTTCAAACGACTTGCCAAAGACTATGATATCGTCTAAATAAATGAGACAAATTTCAAACTGCAAGCCTCTTAACACCGTCTCCATTAAACGCTCAAATGTGGCTGGCGCGTTGCACAGCCCAAATGGCATTACTGAAAATTCATAAAGACCACGCCTGGTAGTAAATGCCGTTTTTTTCTTGTCCTCAGGATTGACAGCCACTTGCCAATATCCTGAACATAGGTCCAATGTGGAAAACCATTTGGCTCCTCTTAACTGGTCCAGAGAATCATCAATTCTTGGTAATGGATAGGCGTCGTTCTGTGTAACATTGTTCAGCTTACGATAGTCAATGCAAAATCTCGTGCTACCGTCCTTCTTCTTCACTAAAACAATGTTGGATGCCCAAGGACTACTTGATGGCTCTATCACATTTCTCTTCAACATGTCATCAATGTGAACATCTACCTCTTTCTGCATGTGGACTGGTATTCGCCTAGGAACTTGCTTTATTGGTGGATTGCTTCCTGTGTTGATCTTATGCTTTATAACATCTGTCCTTCCTAGATCTCTATCAGATTTTGCAAATGATGTCTGGTAACGCAAAAGTAACTTGAGGATAGCTTGCTTGTTTTTCCATGACATACCCTGACTTGATCTCTGAAATAAATCATGTAAATGCTCTGGCAATTCTGATTTTTCCTCGTTCCCTGTCGTGCTATTGCATACAGATGCAGTCATGACATTTTGAATTGGATTAAGCTCAGCAATAAATGTTCCCTTTTTCAGCTCTTTAATTTCATTATGAACATTCATTAAACGCACAGGAACTTTGTTTTCCGTGCAATGCTTTACCAGTACTCTTGCAACTAATGCTCTATCAGATTTTTCAAACGGCTTGCATGGCTCGACAATGCCCTCTGCAGGAACAACACAATGCATATCCAGACTGGATAAATTGCATTGCGTCAACATCTCACTCATAGGTGGAATTGTTATGTCCTCCCCAAGAGAAACTCTGAAACAGCCAATTTTACCCTTGTATCGACAGGAAATTGCTACTTTCTCTTGTCCAATTATCAGCGTACACTTTGAAAAATCTATAGCACAGTTATTCATCTTCATGAAATCTAAACCAAGAATTCCATCAACACTCAAGTCTGCCACTATAACTTTGTGCCTGAAATACCTTCCTTGAATGTTGAACTGCAATGTATGTTGACCATACACTCTTAATGGCGTACCATCTGCTACCAAAATGTCAGACTTCAATTTCTCTAATTGTATTTTGGTTGGCCAAACGTCTTCAGTGACTTTCCTGGATATTAAAGTAACCGTTGCACCTGAATCTACCAGAAAGACTAATGGGTTATCATTCACATGTAATTCCACAAACATACCTGATTCACCTGTTTTATTGATAACCTCTGATGCTCCACAACTCAGTTTTGAAACATTGCCTTTATCTGGAGTTTTACTGTTTGTCCCTGATGTTGAGTCTCCTCTTGATTTGCTCGCGTATGTCGGTCTGTGATTAGCCTGTGATGCAAGATAGCGTCTGCACTTACTCTTCATGTGGCCAGGTTTACCACAGTAAAAACACTTAAACATATAAGCATTGTTCGGTGCCTCGATTTGTTGTTTTCTGCTAAAGGTTGACTGCATGGGCACGTTTTTATTGTGTCCTTCCTTGAGTGACTTCACTTCTTTCTGAAGTGAAATGAGACTGTCAGTTACATGTATATCTTTTAATATCTTGTCTGTTTTACTCATATCAGAATCCTTTTCTACTGTTCTGACATATCCTTGCCTCTCCTGCATTTTCTTCTCCGCACTTTGAAATGCTTGCAATTCTACAGCATGGCGAATCGCATCATTAAGGTCCTTGGGACGTGCCTGTTTTATTCTAAGTCTCATATCAGAGTCCCTTATAGCATCAATGAATTGTTCTTTTGCGAGTATTTCTTTAAGGTCTACTGTAGCTGTTGGGTAAGCCAAATTCGTAAGCCTCCTAATGTCCTGGCCTAACTCTGGCATTGACTCTACGGCTTTTTGTTTTCTTTCACGCAATTGAGCTCTGTACAATTCAGTCTGGTTTGTTGGTGCAAACCGCTGACCAAGTGCTGTACATAATGAATTGTAATCACGTTGATCAGATGCCGGCATGTTACCCAAAACGCCTTGTGCAAAACCCCTTAAAGATACTGCTAAATACATTCCTTTTTCTATGGCTGACCAGCAATTTAATTCAGCACAAACTTCGAAGTGCGATTTAAAATCACTCCAGGATGTACTGCCATCAAATGTTGCAGGTTTAATGAAATGACGTTTCTGGTCTTCAACTTGTTGACCTGTAGTATTGTATACTCTGTTTCGCTGTACATTATTCCTAGCTATGCCAGTATTGCAATCTGTCATAGTCGAAGTCTGACCTAACATAGACGTAGTTCTTGAATTTAAGGCACATGGATCAGGAGTCGCTATCATTCCCCCATAATTGTTTATTTGACTAACCATACCCCTTTGGTCTGCCATATGACTCGTCACTCTCCCTTGGTCTGCCAAATGACTAGCCCTCCCACTATGGCTTGTCATGTGGTTTGCCATCTGACGTGTCAAACTATGGTTTGTCAACTGGTCAGTCATTGAAAGATCAACTCTCTTCCTTGCCATACTATGGTCTGTCAACTGGCCTGTCATACTATGGTCTGTCAACTGGCCTGTCATACTATGGTCTGCCAACTGGCCTGTCATACAGTGGTCTGTCAGTTGTCTGTACGTTCCAGGGTGGCCAGATGTATTGCCTGCCATAGTTAAATTACTGTCATGACGTAACAATTGGTGTTGAATGTCTATGTCTAGTCATTTCCATTTCTAACCTTCTAATTTCGTCCTCAAGCAATGTTATGTCATTCTCTATATTGCTACCCATTGCTTACAAAAATGAATTACCAAATATAAAGAGGCAAAGAAGTACACCGCTGCCACCAAAATTATGTAACGGCACTATATTGCCGTCTATCAATTAAATGAGTTCGTAAGAACCTCTTTGCCAAACTAAATAATACTTTTCCTCAATCACTGATTAGATTTATATTATATATTTGAATGTCCCTACCTTGGGTTAAATCAAGAAGTGAATCAAAAATAAATGGAAGACCTTCAATAAGTAAGTGTTATACGTTTCCTAATTAAATAGACTAGCACCAGAGACAGGTCGGCTCTATTCGGACCACTATCCCCAGCACTAGCTATTTTCCCTGACTTAATATGTCAGTGCTATGGTCAGTCACAGTGGACGACCACTCAGGAAAATAATAAGACAGGCAGACAATCAAAGCAGCTTCGGCTCTATTCGGGCCACTGAATTAATTGCCTACTTATCTTTCCTAACACTTAGAACCCTTTATTAATCCTTATACTTACAATCCAGCTTCTTCACCCCTGATCACTTTAACAAGAAAGACACAGATTCACTACATCCCGGGTTTATATACACATAGGGTGTTCTATTTGTAAGGGGTGTCAGGTCATTCCATTTTACCAGGAAAATATGGTCATAAAAACGTTTGATTCAATACAAAAATAACATTATAGAAGTTTCAATGCTTCACGTTAAAGGGACCATAACTGAATCTATAATGTGAATTTTTAAGCACAAACAATAAATGTATCAGAATATGTATCTTTTGAAATATACAGAAAATACGTAGAATTTAAAATTCTACATATTTTTTTTTTTATATCTCAGAATGTGATGAATAAAGTACTTTTCAAGACGGCTCCAACGACAAAAATTATTTGGAAAAAAAATTTTGTGAATAAATGTTTGAAAATTTACGATTGAACTGAAGTCCTATTTCGTAGTACTTAGTAATCAACTGTAGTGATATTGTTCGGTGAAGCTACAAAGGACATAATTTAAAACACTTAAGCGCAGTAAAACGCTTCATATATACATTTTCCGAGTAGGGAAAAGCAACCATTCGTCACAGGAAAACTTACACAAGCGAAATGATTGATTGATTGATTGTATATTGTTTAACGTCCCTCTTGAGAATTTTTCACTCATATGGAGACGTCACCGTATTCCGGTGAAGGGCTTCAAATTTAGACCTATACTCGGCACTCAGGGCCATTGAGCAGTGAGGGCTCTTTATCGTGCCAGCGCCTACCGTGACACGGGACCTACGTTTTTAAGGTCATATCCGAAAGACCCGTGACTTTCACTTCTAGTGCCGAGCGCTTGGCGAAGGAACGGTCACTACCTTTGTTTACGTCTTTGGTATGACGCGGCGCCGCGAACGAGAATCGAACCCGGGCCTCCCGATCACGAAGCGAACGCTCTACCACTAAGCTACCGTGACCGGTGACAAGCGAAATGAGTGTTAGTTCAGAGAATCTCGGCTTCTACACCCGAAAAAATAATAATTGTAATTTCTGCTTCAAAAAATACATCACGATACATCGATTGACCTTGAAATTTTTTTTCTTATCTGTCTACAATTTAACTTTGGTGATATCTGATGAATGAGAAGAAATAAGGCTTTCATATTATACATGTATATTACCTATGACAAGCCCTTTCTAAATACACTTTAATTTTGACCCCTTGACCTTGAAGATTTAAATATTACTTTAAACTGGCCGTTACGTTTAAAAGAGAAGGGGTAGGCCTTTCAATTTAAATAAAATTTGTGTATAATCTGTGACCAGACCTTCCTTAATACAGTATGAGTTTTGACCTCGTTATCTTGAACTTGAATTTTGAACTACTTTTTAAAAAATACTTTAACTGTACTGGAAATTAGCTTTCAATTTTTTTTCCGAAAAGCTACATTTCTATTGATGTCATTTCATAAGCAATTGACAGAAAAATTTTATTATCTGTGCATCATTTTTTATACACATCACATTCAAATGATTTCAGTTTAATGTCTACGACATCTGAAATGATAAATTTTGATAGGTAGTCGTGCAGTTTGAAATGCTTAAGCCTTCGTAGGAATTCTTCTTTTCTTCTTCGTTTAACTCCTCATAGTTATCAGTATATCCGTCCTTAGATTTTGTACATGTCGTAGTGGTATTGGAATTTAGTTGCTCCGCATAGTTCCGTCTTTTATTTTTCAGAATGAATATATATTTACGTCTGAAATAAAATTAAAAATACTCACCGTGAATTTAGAATGTGTATTAAATATAATTATATAAATAAACAGAGTAAAAAAATCTTTATTAAAAATTTCAGATACATGTACATGTATCACCGACAAGCTAAATATATTTCAGTAAAAATAAGAATGAGTCTTAATGATGCAATTTTGCCTTCTGAAATTTAATTTTAATTAATCATTTTTAAAGAATCAAACATTAAGAGATAGTGAATTCATCACCTCACAAGGCATATGGTGACAATAATTGCTAGTAACGCTATAATGTTGAGAGAAACCGAGAAGCCAAGGCCTGATATGTATTCTCCAGTGAGAGCATCTTCTACAATGAAAATATTTTTTTCCATTTAATTTCAGCGCATATACATGTACCGTGAACTATCAATAATCCGTAAGGCCACACCAATGAAAATTTTTGTTCGTCGGACCCGCGCGCTCGTATTTGAATAAAACTATACAAATAATATAAATTTTAAATCCCCGCACCATGGGAATTCTGTGCTGTGTTCTGTTCCATTTCCGCTCTATTTTTCGTACTTTTAATCTAATTACTCTGAAAATCAGAGAAAATATAATTCTCCGCTCAAATTTTTTCACACCCCGCCTAAAAAATATGCCTACGATAAAGTAATAATATTATTATTCAACCGCTAGCCTGTTCGTACTTTTTTAAATCAAATATCCGACGAACAAGAAATTAAATTGGTGTGGCCTAAGCAACATCCGCTATGTGATGTTCAAAAGGAACCTTTTATAATAATAATTGATAATAAAAGATTTAGTTCGTTACAGTTGTCCAGAAGCTCCGAATTCGAATTAATCCGAATAAATAGGTGTCAACTAGACTTGACAGTAGTTTCTAAGGGTTCTCGGTATATTAAGGTAGGATTCTTCTCTGGTCTCTGAGTAGAGGAAATATTCAATGTATATTTGCTTAAACGTCATATATTTAGGTGAAAGAGATTTAAAAGACCATATTTTTCTTTCCTCATCACAACTGTACATTTTTAAATGGAAATGGTCAATTGTGTTTGAAAACTGGCAGGGACTATATTTTTGGCGGAATAGTGGCGTATGAAAATATCTTCTTTTCTGCCTCTCAAAATTCTTATTGAAGTACGAATTTAGTTATAATTTTTACACAATCAGCGACTAGAAGAATTTTTCAAATGTTAGCTAAATATAAGAATAAGGAACTAAAGTTTTAAAATATATCAAATAAATATGAATTTCCAAACAAACTACAATTATGTTTGTTTTTAAAAGTTTCGACTCTAAGTACAAATATGAGCCAAAAATCCATAGAAAGTGGTTTTACTCTCTTACTAAACGGTCAAAACTTTTTGTTTTTGTATCATTTTGTATCTCTTTATGACGTCTTTACCATATGTGAAAATGAGAAAAATTTAAACAGAGGGCGCATATAAAAATAACTTAAATATCCTAAAAATTTAAGAAAAATAGAGAAAATTCCGGATTAGCAAAAATCATCTTATAGACCCTATATGGTAATATCTTTTTATGCAAAAAGAAAAACATTTAATCTTTTGAAAAAGAAGACCCTATCTCATGATTGGATGCAGTTATTTTTATTTTTAAAGACCAGGGAAAGGGTAATGACCTTGACCTGACCTTGACTCTAATATAAAACGGTCAAAACTAATCAAACTAATACCATCTCTTAGTAATATTGTCTTCATCATTCTGTGAAAATTTCATTAATTTTTAAATACAAGAAATACAGTATTGTGTGAGAAGAATCCTACCTTAAAGCATAATTAGAATAAAATTCAAACTCATACTGTTATAATCACATGTTAATCCCTCATAAGGCTCCAGACACCCTTCAGGGCAGCTCCCGTCAAATCTGCTACAGGTTTTACCGTTTTTACAATGTTTGCTGCAACTTTGTAAGCAATTTACCCCATAAAATCCGCTCGGACATTCTACATAGAAAAACAGTATAGTATTATTTACATGCATAAATAGATTAAATGTTTGTGGTGCCATTTGAAAAAAATAGTTTTCGTAAAAAAAATCAAAGAGGTTGATTATTCCAATGACAAGTTTAGCATCATTCAAACAAAAAGTTTAAACATAGAACATTTGATGAATCACACGCTACAACTGCTATAACATCTATGGAAACAAATAGTGCTACATGTACCTTCAGAACAGTTTGGTGAACCCATCCAGCCTGGTGCACATGAACATTTTCCATCGGTGTGTTCACAAATGTCGATACAGCTTTTAGAACAAACGGCTGTACAACTGGATCCATAGAATCCCTCAGGACAAACTTAAAAATATAATTTTAGCTATCATGTTATCTAAAGTATATTCTCGTAGGTACTCAGAGGGCCATTATTTACATACTTAATTGTTGACGGATTTTATCCCGATCATGACAAGGAACACATTTCAGATGTGACCGGTCGACGGGGGATGCTTACTCATCAGTTGCACCTGATCTCACCTCTGTGTTTGTGAGATCTGCGTTTGTTCTGATCCTGATAAATATTGTTTGATTGGTTTCGATGTTGAAGACTTTTTGTTATCTCTATATATTTCATCTTAGATTAAGGGTTCAGTTTCAAAACTTACCTTTCTCACATCGTATTCCTATGTAACCCGCTATACATCCATTGTTACAAACACCGTCATTGTAACGACAGGTTTCTCCATTCAGACAATGCCCACTGCAGTTATCTTTGCAGTCTTTCCCAAACGTATGTTGAGGACACTCTTTGAAAAGAATGAGAATGAGTTCAGTTCGGTTTTGAATACGACTTATTTATGTTTAATTATTCATTTTCTTCATAGAAATAAGTTTTTTCCTCTTTTTCATTATTCATTATTCAAAACATATTTTTATTTTGATTTTATATCCGCAGCTTTTAACAGAATATTGTTGGGTACATCATTACGTAATTTACTAAGTTGTGCCTATTTTACAGTTAACAATAAATACTAATAATATTGTATAGGAAGATATAATTTAAGACTGTAATATATTATAATATAACGTGACTTACATGTACATGTACAGTGTATCTTCAAGCTTACATTTTGCACCGAAATGTTACTTTAAATCAATTTACGGTGTATATATTTGTTCATTTTCTATTTTTTTCCATACCTGTATCACAAAGTTGTCCAATATACCCAGGGTCACATCCGTTCAAACAATGTCCATTTTCTCTTTCACAGTAGGTATTTTGTAGACAGTGTCCACTGCAGTTGTAAATACAGTTTCTACCATATGTTCCTAAAGGACATCCTATAGCGAATTGTAAGAAATTTATTCTGACATGACTAAAGAAATAAAATTAAACTATCTCTCTTTTTCAAAGTGAATATTTCCTATGTTTCCCTTTTAACTCTTCATAAGATGTTTTGCAATATTTAAGTGTTTTGTTTAACTAAACTTATGAGAAAAAAAAACAGATAGCCGCTCTACAATGTTTACGATCAATCATCATAGCCACATGTAATTCAAAATCAAAGTTTACATTGTCAAACGTTCTCACAACGTTTGACATGGGTATGCAGGTTATCGATGTATAATGATACACATGAACACATATATATACGCACGCCGTTGACAATAGGATCCAGTCCACCCATGGGCACAGCCATTAGGACATAATCCAGTCACATGATCACAGGTCTCATTATCTTTGCATTGTCCCGAACAACTGCCATTACATTCAAGACCAAAGGTTCCTGCTAGACATGCTATTTAATGATATGAACATATTAATGCTTCTTCTTTTTTACCATAACATCATTTTCTTATTTTTAAAATGTAAGCTTATACTTACATTGATCACAGAAATCTCCTTTCCAGCCCAGTACACATCCTAAGCACGTACCGTTTATTAAGTCACATCTTTGTTCTTGACACTTACTTGGACAAGATGTGTTGCAGTTTGAGCCATAAACAGCCGAATTTTCACAACCTCGTGGAAGGTGTTGAAAGAAATTTCAATTATTGGCAAATGCATTGTACTAGTATATTTACGAAGAAAAAAAGTCCTGACAGAAACGGCATGAGTCAATTATAAACAAACATGGTTTTCTTGCAAGAGTAAATATGAAACTGACTTTGTTTATAAGATTGAATTGCTTACTCATTACTTATATCTTTTTTATACGATTTTAATTATACTATTACTGAAAGTGAGGGGGTTATTTTTATAGTTTATCATGAGTGCTGGTTAAAAAACCAGTTCATTAGCAGACGGTGATATTGTTTTTGCCACTATTGGAGTTGAGTTTTATATTTCTGGACAAAAGAATGTAAATGTACATTTGTGAAAATAAAAGAGGGTGGAGATTGATGTTTAATATCTTCTGTTTATGTTGTGAATACGATTTTACGATTGATTTAATACTGTAGATCAGTTAATTTTCCCGACACCTTATTTTCGCGAGATACTCATTGACCCTTTATTGGCGAGACAAAAGTTTTCAATTTTGGAATTGTGGATTTTGCTCAATATAATCTTGAGGAATTCTATTATACACGAGAATGAAATTTTCGTGAGCATACCGTCTCGCGTAATTCCGTGAAAATAAAGTTCTCGTGAATAAAAAGTGATTTATTGTAACTAAAGCAAGTTCAGATACTTAACCTTGATAATTTTCACAGATTTTTATGCTGACAATTTTCTTTAATCATCTGCTAACCATAAACCATGACTTCACACAGCTCAGTGATGACCATGCTTTCATATTCATCAGGATAAGATATTTTTAACAATCTTTCATTGTAGAATGTCAAATACCGCCCATGTTTTATACATGTGGTGTTGAAGTCTAATGGAGGTAACTCTGGTCCATCTTTATAACACAGATAGCCATCATCTTTACTCGTAGTATTGGACAGGTAGAGCGAAAATCCAGCAAATCGACCTCGTTGTCTTATTTCTACAACGAAACAAATATATACAAAGAAGATTCAAAACATACTTCCCTGTTCATTAAAACTTATTTGTTTCTGCTTTACATGTACTCATAATTTATTTCAATATTTTATAATAAAAGATTATTCATTATTCAATATTTCCCGATCATAACAAGGAACAAAGTGTGACGGGTTGGCAGGGGATTGCTTACCCCTCCATGGCACATGATCCCCCCTCCGATGTTTTCGTGGTCTATGTTTGCTCTGCTACAAAACTCGTATTGATTGATGAACTTTTGAGCTTGAATGCTCTTCATAATCTCCATATTTTTTAATGGATATTGTTAGAAGGAAATTTTTTATTAATGCAATAGAGGCGAATTTGCAATATTGTAAAATAAAGGAGACACAAATTAAAAACTGTGAAAAAACAACTATTTTTCTTACAAGTAATCTCCAAGAATAATATGCTTGAGGACATATACAACAAAAACCTTTTGTGATTTTATGATATCTGGTACAATGTACTGTACAACGTCTCTATATCAATTTTTTTTTTGAATTACCATCTAAATCTATATCTATATTACTTTTTTATATAAAATTTTCCCTTTATTTTATATCAGGTCAAAATTCCTCGTAATAGAAGTTGCTTTTATGTGTAAGAATTTCTATGGACGCCCTAATTTAAATTTGAGAATATCATAAAAATATCTGGAAAAGGCACATTGAAGAGTTTGTGCACATTTGCCTTGCGTAAGTTCTTAAAAGTTATATTATATATATTCAATAATGAACATTACCTCTTTTTATGCCGTAGCTTTTGAATAAAATTCGAATGTTGTGTATACTGCGTATATCACCGAGGTCGACTTGCCACTGGACATGTTGATATTGTGACCTGTATCCAACAACTTCAGTTCTTATGCAAGTGTCAACATTTCTATCTACTGCATTTTCAGCTTGAAAAAGTCGACAAATGTCTGGCCTTGAACAGGACCACTGTGGTCTTTGAACAGCGGATTTTCCAACTGATAAGTCATCTAAAATATATAATTATATATTATATAAACATTTCGGTCCATTTCTTTTTTTTTGGAAGGGGAAGGGGGTAGACCAGACGGAAAGTAAATAAAGCACTAGCTGTACTAAACCAAGATCTCTATCCAGAAGAACTGGTAAGTGAAATGTTACAAATTAAGCCAAATTGATGTTATTCTTAAAGCAAAGTAAGGTGATAGCAATTAATTCATTTACTTAATCCTCTGCCGCTACGAATACTACCAAATCACATACTTGTAGATTAAAAACTAATTGAATTCGTGTTGAGAACATATTTGACTTAAAGTTTACATTTGCATGCCTTTTAAGTCCATTGCAATTTAATTAAGAAGGCCAATTCCGAAATTGACTCATTATCCGTTGAAAATTTTCTTTGTGTTACAACACACAGACCCTGAATTGCATTTAGCAAAGTGTTGCATAATTGTAAATATATAGGAATCGATTTAAGATTTTAATACTAGTAAAACTAAGTAATATGTGCTTCGAACTCTTGACTTTGAATCTCAGTATATGAACAAATTGCCTGGATCACAGATTCCTGTTCCCGGAATATTATCTTCTTGTAAATAAGCATACAAATTATTTTATTTTCGATAAGCTTTCTATAAGCATTTATAACATCAAATTACCTTTTGTGACAAGAAAGGACGCAACAATAGTCCTCATTTCTAGACCATGTGTGATACTTTAAATATGCTGGGTGTGCTTTACTTATCTTGATTTGTATTAATACTAAATTAAATTTATTTATAAGATATAATATTATGTTGATTGTAGCATTGATATTTTCACCCATCAAAAGTCACTGTTAATCAAGAATATCAAAGCTTCGTTTAAAATCATCATTCCGTGAGTTGGTCGATACAATGACCTTCTCATCAAATACAATCTTTTGTTATAATTCAGATTAAAAAATATGACACGTTTTTTAAACAATTTGTAAATCTATACAATGGAATATCAACGGATTTCCACGATTGAGACAAAGAGTAAACAACTTGTGTGTCTGATCGGAAGGGAACTTCACTCCTCCATGGCACCTCATCCACCTCCGATGTTTTGAAAGATGGTCTGATTAATCCACCTTGGAATCGGTCACCAAATTATCTTATCTGAGCTTAAAATACATTTTGTATTGTTTGGGTCCCTCAAATGAGACCAAACAAACCATAGTCCCGCGTATTATTAGTAATATTTATAATAATTATAACTTTTCCGACAAAAAATAAAAATGCATGTATTACCGTCATAGTATACTTAAATGGAGTATAAATATATTTATGTCATTAATAAAGTTTGTTTCATTTCTACCTATCCCACATTTCTAAAGACATTGGATAACAAGAGGCCCAGGGGCCACATCTCTCACCTGAGCAATTGGCTAGAAAAACGCACATATCAGATCAGAACTGAAAGTTAACTGAGGGCGGGGAGGGGGGGGGGGGGGGCTGAATTTTAACCCCCAGGGGGTCATGATTTGAACAAACTAGAATCCACAAACCCTATAAATATCACTAAGCTTTGAGGTTCACTTGAAGAGAAGATTTTAAAAGGTTTCCCTATATATTCCTATTTAAAACTTTTATCGGCAATTTGGCCCCACCCTACCCCCGGGGGTCATGATTTGAAGAAACTTGAACCTAAACTACCTGGGGATGATTCCACGAGAGTTTCATCTTTCCTGGCCAAGTGGTTCTTGAGGAGAAGATTTTTAAAGATTTTTCCTGTATATTCCTATGTTAAACTTTGATCGGCCATTTTGGCCCCACCCTACCCCCGGGGGTCATGATTTGAACAAATTTGAATTTACACTACCTGAGGATGATTCCACAAGAGTTTCATCTTTCCTGGCCAAGTGGTTTTTGAGTAAAAGATTTTTAAAGATTTTTCCTATATATTCCTACGTAAAACTTTGGTCGGCCATTTTGGCCCCGCCCTACCCCCGGGGGTCATGATTTGAACAAAATTGAATCTTCACTACCTGAGGATGTTTCCCTATAAGTTTAATCTTTCCTGGCGCAGTGTTTCTTGAGAAGAAGATTTTTAAAGATTTTTCCTATATATTCCCATGCAAAACTTTGATCGGCCATTTTGGCCCCACCCTACCCCCGGGGGTCATGATTTGAACAAACTTGAATTTACACTACCTTAAGATGATTCCACATGAGTTTCATCTTTCCTGGTCAAGTGGTTCTTGAGGAGAAGATTTTTGAAGATTTTTCCTATATATTCCTATGTAAAACTTTGATCGGCCATTTTGGCCCCACCCTACCCCCGGGGGTCATGATTTGAACAAACTTGAATCTACACTACCTTGAGGATGATTTCACAAGAGTTTCATCTTTCCTGGCCCAGTGGTTCTTGAGAAGATTTTTTAAAAATGCCATTATTTTTTCTCTAATTCATAATCATCTCTCCTTGGAAAAGTGCGTGGCTCTTCATTTGCACAAAATTGAATCCCCTTTACCCAAGGATACTTTGTAGCAAGTTTGGTTGAAATTGGCCCAGTGGTTCTTGAGAAGAAGATGAAAATGTGAAAAGTTTACAACAACGACAACGACGACAACGACAGACAACGGACAAATTGTGATCAGAAATGCTCACTTGAGCCTTTGGCTCAGGTGAGCTAAAAAAAAAAAGAAACAAACTGAACGGTATTCACGAAATTAACAAAACACGGAAATGATGTGCATGGACTTTGTAATAATGGCTAAATACACACGTTTCACATAATTTACTTTTTATTACTTTTGACCAACTGAGGACTAATAAATGTTACACCTTCAAAGTCCTTAGTCCTTAGTGAAATCAAAACAATGCTTTCTGTATTTTTTATCTGTAAGACTGAACATAATACGTAAAAAATTTCATGGATGGTCTATATTTTCGTCTGCTACTTTTTTCAACAATAAAACAAGTCAAACACTTTAACAATTTCATATAGTTAAGAATAAATTGATGCAACAAAAAGAATTGTTTTATCATACCATATGCCAATGTTTGTTCCAGGTGTATCAACAGTGGAAAAATGAAAAGGCTCATTCCAAGGTATGGAAGTTCATTAACATGTAAGTATAGACCAGGATGTTTATTTTATTTTGTTATATATTTGTTATGCATTTCGACACAGTTTTAGGTGATACAGGATGTTTTACTCGTGAAATGCAGCTGAACTTCCAATTGAATGGTGAACAAAACGAACATTATTCGATTTTTAAAAAACTACAAACAAAACAAAGATGAGAGAATGGCATTAATACGGACCACTGATAATTCCAGAAGTAGGATCTGGTGTCTTGGAGGAGAAAGTATGCCCTGACACACCTTTGACTCCTAGGTATTGGTTAGGTAGACGAATGAAATTTATTCGCAGACAATTCGGTATAAAAACAAAGGTGTTAACATGTGTACCATTGGTAAGACTCAAAGCTGTCAAACTATGGTTTAATGATAGGTTATATTTCCTTTAAGTCCTTATAATTAACTTACGAGTTTGTTGAAATCCCTGTAAAATTAATTTATCAGTGAGTAGCATGCCGCCCTTTACATATTACCGTAGTCGTACTAAGAGTTATGTATTGAGACGCAAGATAAGTTGGTATACTTTAACACCATAGGCGTTAGCATTGAGCAATATTTATTCCTACTTAAGGAAAGTTGACTTTGGAAAGCAGAAACTTTGCAGGTTCTCAAAAAATTCTTCTAAATATAACACAGATGCATTTCATCTCTCCTCATATATTTCGAGACCTAACATGATCGAATGAAAATTACTTTTATTGATTGAGGAAACATCATCATCATCTGAATGTCGAAATTAAAACAAAAAGTTCATTTTATTTCTATTCTTAATATTAAGAGATTTCGTAAATAAATTCTGCTTCATATGAATATAAAAACATGTCATCTAACATGATAAAGGACACAATATGGGTCGATCGTAATTCTACATTCAGTTTGTTTGAAGACTCCCAAGTAAATAATGAACCCAGTATTATTTTAAAATTAACTGCAGAAGACATTTGTAAACAATCAGAGTTACCCGAGGAATTGTCCTATAAAGTGTGTTTCATTGTTCTAGGATTATTTGATGCAAAGGAAAATACCAGGGGCATTTAAAAGTTCTGAGTACTGCTTGCTGAATATTTTACATTTCACGGAAATAAGTTTAATAACATTGAAGAGTTGGAACATTTACACATATTGACATCGCTTTCTTATTTTTATGATATACTATCTCTGAAAATAGCGTCAAAATCTCGAATATCTAGTACATGTATAATAAAAAAATCGCGTGTTTTGGTCCTCGTGTTTATGGTTTATCTTTATGCTTAACTTCTTTCTGACGTCAATTTGGAGTCATTACATCATAAAAAGAACAATGTGAATTCATATTATGTTTGTCTTTTTTATATTTGCAATGATATATAAAACTTAATAATTTTCGTTAAATTGTTAATCTTTTATCAAAAAGCATTCACAGTTTGAGAAATGAACGTGTTAGATTTTTGCATATACTCCTATCCGGTACTTAGCAATAATCTACGAAATTTATGGCCACATTTATGACATAAGCAGACTTCCTTTTTTTCTATATGTATTTTTTAAAATTTTATCTCAGAGAAGAGCTGTTTACAACGGAAAATTGTGAAAAAATGCACAGTGCATGAAACTTGTACAATCTAAATGTAATATTTTCCGAAATAAGTTATACGACGTGAAAAGTCTCCTTTCAGTAAATTGCATTAGTTCAAATATCCACTGCTTAGTCCACTGCAAAAGAGCCACACAACAAAGAGTTCGACTTTCTAGACATCACAGAATGAATTAACAAATTTGTGTTATGAACAACATAAATATTGCGGACATATGTCCCATAATGCCCTAGCCAATCTTAGTGGATAATCCTACATCTAAAGAGTAGTTCCTTTTGACCCATGATTCATATTTACTAGCAGTCAGATGAATAAATAATGTAGAAATGTTTTTGTATTTAATTAGTCTTATTTATTTGTTTTTTAATCTTATATATATTCTAAATCTGTCCAGACTTTAATATTTAATCCGTATGAAGCTACAAATGTATCCCCAAAAAAATAACATTCATTTCAAAAATGAATCTAAAAGCTACCAAAATTTAAACACCTACTGTTTAACCTGGGTTGGGGTAGTTTACACTTTATAAACCGCGAAGCGGTTATACCAGTATAACATGTCTAGATGGCTATTAAATTAATTCCTTATAGTTTAATTTTCAACCATTAAGTATATAAGAAAATTTAAAGGATATATAGACAATCAGAAATACCTTTGATTTTTTTTATTTTAAATGTAATGTCAAGCGAATTGATTTGTGTTTAACGTAATCTATTGTGACGTAGGCATCCTAGGTTTAACAATAAAGATATTAATCCAGTCAAATTGTTACAACTAAAATCAAATTATTTCTGTTTTAAACTAACACTCCAGTTGTGATCTATATTAAACACAGAATGAATCGTTGCGTTCCAATCAAACAAATGGATACAGAAATGTCTGGAATGTCACTGAATGATAGTGCTCTGTAATTCAGTCACCACTGGCATTCAGAAGACTTTCAGTATATATTCAGTCATTTTTCAGTGGACATTTAGTCTCCTTTCTGTTACCTGAAGGAGACTTTGATTCTGTTCATTTAAAAAAAGAAAATCATATTAGGAGAAAAAATTAAAACATTTTAATTTAACATTAAATATGCCTAGTAATAAAAAAATTACAAATACATGTAGTAATTAGAACCTAGTAGAAGCCATAGTTCTAATCTCCCAAGATAAACCTTTGTTTTTCATGTCGCAAAGTGCATATATGAACAAACTGTTTTTTAATGTACATAAATTTCATTCTTTATTCCACTTGTAGAAGATCTAGAAGTTTGCATACACACTGTCATTTTGCATGTACTCTGCAACAGCATCATAACTGAGCTGGTATTCATCCTAAAAAAATAAATATATCTGTCAAGATTCCTTTGATATTTAAAAAAAAGAAAGAAAATAAGCATTGGTCATTTTTATATACTGTAATCTGTCGGGTCAAATGTCAAAGTTAGAGCAGAAAAAGTGGACGATTTCATTTCATGGTTGGAAAATATTAAGTAGTAATGCATATAAAAGTTTTCATTTCATGGTGGTCATAAATTCACAAGGTCTTTCCATACTTTGAAAGAACGAAAATTACCCCCTCCCCAACAAATTAGTGATTTCACAGTATTCTGCACAAAATTATGTAATAAAAAACATTAATAAAACATGCAAAACTAAATAGTCTAGCTTTCCCTATCCATTATTTTGAGAAAATGCCTCATAAAAAATTACAAACTAACTTCATCTCACAGAATCTTCGAATATTATTAAAAATTAAATTTATCCTCAATTCTAAGATAAGGAAACTGACCAAAGTGGACAAAAACTCCGGTCTACGGATCTGAAGTTGTCGTGTGATGGTAAAGATGTCCACTTCCTGATCCATTGAGAGTTGTTCTAGAGCGTTATAAACCACACAGAATGCTCCACAACGTGTAGCGCCATCACTGTCAAGATATAATTAGATTAATGCTATTGTTATTATAGAGTTGTTCTAGAGCGTTATAAACCACGCAGAATGACCCACAACGTGTGGCGCCATCACTAACAAGATATAATAAGATTATTGTTGTTGTGATTATAGAGTTCTAGAGCGTTATAAACCGCACAGAATGCTCCACAACGTGTGGCTCCATCACTACCATAGCAAAAAAATCATCTTATGACATATTTCGAATGTTATAACTATCAAAATAGTAATGCATTTTCCACATACTATAGTGAAACAATATTTAAAATCAACATCTTTTCAATAACATAATTCACAATAAAATGTGGAAAATATTGTTCTTTCTTTGCTATACTGTGTCTTACTTCAGTCTATAAGGATAAACTAACTAACCTCGACAAAATAGCAATTCTTCCTTCCTTATGCTTGAACTTTTCAGTTTTTGTTTCTTTGATTAAATCTAACAAAGCTCTTTTATCTATTGTCAGTTTTCCTTCTTTCCATGCCTTACATTCCAGTACTGTTATCTCGATAGTCCTTCCTCCCTAATAATAAATAAATAATTTATATGGTGGGAAAGGAAATTTGTTCATAATAAGACAACCTCATATTTTCCTATATCTTGCAGAAAAAGTCTTATTTCTCTTACCTCTGACTGTAAGACAATTTTCCGTGATGCAAAGTTAGGAGAATTGGTGGAAGAGGCCAATTTAAGTGTAAATTTCCCCAAGTTCTTATGTTCGGATTTCGTTGGAATCCAAAGAGATGTCTAAAAAAAATAAAAGTACATATGTAATCAATATATATTCAAAAAATATTCTTTAAAATAATTTTAATAGCAATATTGCATGTTTCTATTTATTAAGACTTCAAGTATTTGACGTTTATATATGTTTCATAATTATTTACTGTTGTATGTACTATTGTTTATGATGGATGGCTTAACAACTTATCACATATTGCTTTTCATTTTTTTGTATTTGATCACTATATCGTACAGATTTTAAATCCTTTATCGGGCACATAAAAACCACAACACCGGCGTCAAAATCTCTGATGAGTCTGAGGAAGTCCTCAGTGTAATCTGGAAGTGGGTACTGGGCGCTGATCAGACTGTCGTTCTCTGTGAAGGACTGAAAATTAACATGAAGATAGTTTAACATACTGTTTCGTTTTAACATGAATAGGATTTTAACAAGAAGGGCTAGAGCAATGATTGTTTACACTTTACCTGTTGTAGATTTTTTTTTTACATTTAAAGCTACTGGTACATGTGTTTAAAAATGCAAGAAAAACGTTATTTATAACAAGTGTCTTTCAAATATAATATAACCGAGTAATTAATAAAGTCAATGTTCTGTGTGGAGCAATATTAAACAAATTAAAAAGTACACCTTATTTCAGAATAACAGTTATTTAGTAATGTAAGTCTTATAGATAACAAAACATGTATTTTTTTTATATTAATTTTGTTTTGCTAAATAAACACACCTGTAATAGTACAGCATTATAATAAGTGTTTCTTCCCTTGGTATATGACAAATAACACAAAAATTCCTCCACTGAAATGAAAATGAAATCATGACTTACTTATTCATAAGTAAGATATGAGGTAACAGAATCTAATTAATTCAAACATTTAATTTGCTTTTGTTGAAAGGGAAACTTTGGTGTATTGTTAACTTAGATAAATCCACGAAACGTAGGACGTATGGAATGACATTATTTTATGTAATGTTTAAATAGACAATCGATACCTGGTAAAACACTCTCGGTGTAGTTGGCTGATATATTTGTTCTGCCAGATTCATAGTCTTTTTCTGTATATTCTTTTCGAAGGGAAAGTAACTCCTGTAAAAACAGAGAACCATAATGCTCTGTTGGGCTTTGTTGATATATGGTTACATTACAGGCACGTAGCATCGTTTTTGAAAGTGGGGAGGCCAACCAGAGAATTTTTTTTTACTTACCTCAAAAAGTTGACAAGCAAAAAAAAAAAAAACTTGTCCACAGTTCGAAAATCAAAAGTTGGAATTCCTATTGTGGGGAGGAGGGGGGGGGGGGGGGATGGCCAACTTTTCGGAACATTTTACTATCACTTCCAATTTTTTCCCTACAATCCTTTACTTCACTATACTATGGTATAAAGTGGGGGGGAGGGGGGGCATCCTTTCAATGAACATTTACTATAGTAAAGGTAATGTTGGGGAAAAAAGTGGGGGCCAAAAATTCGTGCTAAAATTAAGCCCCCCCCCCCCCCCCCTATTGCTACGTCCCTGCATTACATAGCTCCTTTATCTTTAGGAAACGGTCATAAATTCATGCTACTTGCTAAATGCAAGTGAAAGTACTGATATATACTATATATTATTTTCTTTTTCTTACTTGAAATTCTGATGCCAAAGAGGAATTCTTAGTAACTTGTCCACAGTTGGTGTAGGTTTTATCTTGGAACTCCTTGGTAAACATGGATGGTGTCAAACATTTTGATTTACCATTAAAGTATTCAGATAAAGCGAGGTACACTGCCTTATACTGGTCCTAAAAGAGTCAAAAAAGTATTATGATACATTTGTCTTTTTCTTTAAGGCGTACATTCATTTACGGCAATTACAATAAGGGTCAGCAAGACTTGTTAAATAATGAGAACATATGCATATACACGATGATACAAACAGATATATACAAAACATTCTTTTTAGTATGATACAATGTACAAAAATAGAGAAATAATCGTACTTTTAAATAAAAAAATAATTTTTCCAAAGAAAATTATATCTTAATCATTTTATCTATGATATTGTTTTTGAAAAAATACAGTCTTATCTTATTTGTCCATTTTTTCACAAGCTGCACCTCAAAATTCCAGCAATAAAGCAACTGTACCTTAACTAAAAACTAATATACGATTAGAACACAAACCATTGCACAAAACTTCATATTGTTAGTGTTTTAATAGTGTTTTATTTAAAAAGAAATCGGAAAACATAAAACGTTTTATTTCAAATAAGACCATTATCTAATGTTTTTGCCTTTATGTAATCAAGTGGGCACAAATTTAAAAGAAAATTTTGAATTTTCTTGAAAAACTTATACAGCTTTGATAAAAAGTCATATGACTAGCGGGTGAAAGAAAAACAGTGCTCTCAAAAATACACATCATATATTAGTTTATCTGTTTGTACAGCATTAGTGTGTTTACGACAAAACTATTGGAGAATTTGAAAGCCGTCTTCTATTTATTGAGGAAGAATTCAACAAGAATATATCTGAAAAGGAAATTAGTTTGAAAAGGACAGGGAAACATTTATGGCTAATGGCCATCAAACACCATACAATACACTGATTTAGAGGAAGTTAGTTTTGAAATGTATCTCTATATATCTTTTTGAATCAATGACAGTGTTTGCTTAAAAAAATAAGGAAATAAAAGTAATTGTCCTTGTTAGGTACATGTGATTGGCAAGTTTGATTACCCAAAGGTAAAAAAGCAATATCTATTCAAGTGGGAAGCAAATAAACTATTAAGGGTATGGAACGAACATCGTAAAAAAATATTGTACTCTACATCGATTTTAATTTTAAGCATTTTTGAAATATTCAAAAAAGTAAAAAAGCTATGTATTTTCACATAAGTTGCATATTATACATTTATTGCATGATAGTGAGGGAAATATGAAGACTTGTTCAGCCAAGAAAAATCATATTATGAATATGATAATTCTTGGCTGATTAAGTCTTCATGTTTCCCGAACATTCATGCAATGAATTGTTTATTATACCGAAACAAGCACAACCTTTGAAATAAACTTAAACTTTCAAATTCGGCACCGCTCTCAAATTCACTTTCATTTTTTACGTAAAGTTACTATAAAACCCTTTGGTCAACACATTATCATCAGTTTTGTGACGTAAACCAGGCTATTGTGACGTCTACTTCTCTCGGGAGTTTTCGTTCAACAAACAGGAACTATATTGCGGGAAAATACACTAGGTGTTCCGAAGAGGTGGAATATGATGAAAAGCGTGCCAAACGGCCGTGAAATATGAAGGTTTACGGCCCGATCACGTTATAACATAGAACCAATCAGATAACGCGTTGTTTAGAATATTTATAATGAGGTATAATAATATATATTCGTAACGTTGTTTACAACTTCATGTGTTTGAAATATGAATAAATAGACTTCGTGGAGTAATTTTTCACATTGCTGAAATAAAAGAAAATCCAGAAAAAATATTGAACAAAAACTAAACGTACGTCGCTTTGTATCATGTTCATTCTGTCTTTTCTCATGGTCCTGACGTACATCGGTACATTGACTTTACCATTTCTCTCCCCTTCCCGGTAGAGGGCGTCTAAAGCAATGTAAGTTCCGGTTCTGCCAATTCCTGCACTGTAAATGTAACAAAGACTAGGTCATATCTTTTTCAATACGAAAGTTGAAAGACCTAATGTACCCTATGATACGCAAAACATTTGTAATATTCATTATGAGTGAAATTATTCAATATCTTTATTCTGAGACATGATGTACATGTAAAGCCAAAGAAAAAATTGTGTGATGAAAATCAATGCCCCGGGCACATTTTCATCATGGCCATTTTTCAGATTATTTCACTTCATTTTATCTCCCTTCAACTTTAAATGTAATATAAAATACATTTTGCACGTTATTTCAACTTGAAAATTACACATATTTTTTTTAATAATTATACTTTTATCCAAGTATTAAATAATTCATTTAAGGCCACACCAATAAATGTTTTTGTTCGTCGGACCCGCGCGCTCGTATTTAAACGAAACTAGACAAATAATATTAATTAAAAATTTCCCGCACCGTTGGAATTTTGTGCTATTTTCTGTTCTATTTCCGCTCTATTTATCGTATATTTCATCTGCTTACTCTGTAAATCAGAAAAAAATATAATTGTCCGCTCAAATTTCTTCACGCTCCGCCTAAAAAAATTGTCTACAAAAAGTAATAATATTATTATTTAACCGCTAGCCCGCTCGTACTTTTTTTCATCAAATGTCCGACGAACAAGAAATTAAATTGGTGTGGCCTAAGTGTTAAATGAATAAGTAAGTACATGTAATGATACTTCTAATGAATTCAATTTTAAACAAGAAACATGTAGATATCCATATTAAACCTGCAATGCACAAGTGTATATTTCCCGGGGTATGTTGATGTAAATTTCATCACGTGACGATGAAACACAACAAGATTGAGAGGATCAGGAACCCCATGGTCTGGCCATCTTGTGTAATGAAACATCAACACCTCACGGTCTTTGTGCTCCTGTAATTCATAACAATGGTGTGCAAAGTTGGGATATATGTAGTTGTGTAAAATTATTTCATTACTTAAGATATTTATAAGTCCTTCTAATCCTTCTAAATGAGGGCTACAAAAATTAGAAAATTTTACGCTCTATCCATTTTGTTTCAATGTATCATAAAATATGAACAAATCAGTCTTATTGTCTTGATAAAAAAAATCTGATCAAAATCTTTCGGTTAATGGAAAAATCTTAAATAAGTAAATAATATTTTTACTAACAGAAATACAGAATTAAAACAATTATTATAGCACCTGAGGATGTTTATTTTTTCAGTATAAGTTTTAGAATTTATATCGTCTCTATCTTCTGTATCCCGATGAAAAAAAATGACCCATTGCATTTTTATGTGGAGACTTTTTTTTGGGTTAGTAACTTTCCTCTCGGTCCGTCGAATGGGACATTAAATGACACCCCATGTCAAGGAATACAAAGGAATTCAAAATCCGGCCAATAAACAGAATTATCCTCCGAAATATGGCTTAAATATTGCTGTGCACAATGAATCAATCCTTTAAAGAGTTTGACAGAATTTTTAATATAGTTATCCATTTTTTGTATACGATATTGAATTTTTGTGCATACAGCAATTTCAAGGACTATATGCATAAAACACTTTACTTTTATTCATTTTCTCTATTCTTTTATATTTGTAGTTAATTTGCAGTTTGATGTGAAAATTTGAAACCAGATCGCTTCAGTTTATGAATAATCCACAAACAAGGATTGAAATTTTAACTTCATGAATAATTATCTTAATTTTTTTTCTTATGCATTTCATTATTGTTAGAAATATTTACATAGGTGTATATTTATTCTTGAAATAAAATGCTCCAATCCATGGCAACTAAACAATTAATCAGCGCATGTGCAAACCATTCATATAAGAGATAATATATATAATCTGCATAAGGAGATTTGTTTTCATTTCGCTTTTCTATTCTGTCATTCCTTATTTGTTTTACATAAAAATGGTTATTTCCTCACAGGCTCTTATGCAGAGGCAATGCCGCCACCAGTGCAATCAATAACTAAAAGAGGGTACCTTTGAATATAACAACAATTAAAAATAATGCTTTGAGGAATTCAAAAGCTATAAAGACGGATATTCCATGGCCATGAATGAAACAATCTGCATAAGATCTAACACAATCAGGTAGGGATATAGATTTTATATTCATAATTCTTGTGATTAAATAACTAACAAATGTCGAGGTTATGGAAATTTTTACATCTTTTTTAAATAGACTTTATGCTAGAAGATGGCAAAAGCAATGATGACTTCTCAATTTGAAAAAAAGATATTAAGATTCCTATGTCAGTAGTATTTCAATTGAAAAAAAATGATGATACTGCTAGAGATGTCTTAGATCATACATCATCAATATTTAAAGCCAACTTAATGCATTAATATTTCAGTTTGAATCAATTTTCTGTTAAATTCATACAAGATTTTCTTGCTTTGTAATCTATTTTTTGAGATTTGTTGAAGTTTTTCAATTTAAACATACATATACATACAAATGATACGAAAAAAAGTTTTAACTGTCCCATACAACGATTTGTTGATGATGACATTCTTTTTAGCAATGAAAACAAGACAAAAATATTACAATGTGATGAATCATCTTATTACATCTCTGGTTAAAATAGGATGGAAATTCTTTCCAATAATTAATATATATAATTTAGTGTAATGATTTCGGAATTTTCAAGTTTGACCATGCGGAGTTGTCAGTTAGTCTCTGTTCACACCACGTGACTTTAATTTTGTATAAATACTGAGACTCTGCAGTGATCAGGGGGTGTTCGTCGGATGCAGCCGAGGTTAGAAGACGAGTGTCGTGAATAATGTATTCGTGTGTTATATCCATCGCCTGTTTTACAGTTAGAGAGTGGATTTGGAAGGCCAACCCAGTTAAGGCCTGCCACAAACTTGGTTGACATCCAACATAGAGGCTATCCATAGTTTGTTGTGTCTCGTCTGCATTGGCTGACCAGTCCGTCCAGGCTGCTATACTCATTGTCCGTCCTGAATAAGGCATCTTACAATGAGTGTAGTGGTTGAATGACAATCACATATACTGTCCGTCCTGAATAAGGCATCCTACAGTATATGCGGTAGTCCGAGGGCAACTGGGCATCCTATTTAAATGTTACATCAGACTCCCCATTTGATTTTGTTGCTTGCCTCTGATTGCTTAATAGATTTTACCATTTGATTTTAATTTACCTAGATAAGGTTAGGACACATTTGTATATTTCGGCAGTCCACTAAGATCATACCAATTATTTCGAATCATTTAATGTTGAACACCCCAAACCCTGGAAATGACCAGGTACGATCCCTTTGATTCATTGTAAATACGTTACATTAGTACTTTTAACAGAAATAATATAATATGTTATTACCAAATTATTGTATGCTTTGAACCGTCTCGTTGTGTAATTAGAATATACTTTCTCTTCCAGGTGCCTCAGTGTGAAATCTCCTGTTTGTAATTTATCGCTGATGTCTGGCCAATATTGGGCACATTTGTTCTACAATTTACAAAATAATAATACATGTAATCATATTTTATTTTAAGGTACGCTTTTGCTTGAAGATGCACAAATATATTCTAGAAAAACCTCAGAAACAAAGCGAATTTAATTTAAGCAAGATGAGAAGTTTACAGTAGAACAATTACTCGTAGTAAGATTTATGCATTCATTTATTTTGAATTAATAGCGTGCAATTTTTTTTCTTTTTTGTCTTTATTCTCGTTTTTCAAAACATACTGTTTCTCTTAGCTAAAACAATTTATCATAACTAACACATCCGATTTATATGGAGGAGTCACTAATCACTTCTACATGTAGCCGATGGAGAGCTGCAGATATAGACCTATACTCGACAGTCAAGTCTCTTGAGCAGTGAAGGATCTTTTTCGTACCAGCACCTACTGCGAAATGGGACCTAGGTCTCATCCGAAGCAATTTTTTCGTAAATTGTATTGTAACGTAAGAATGAATTCCCCCTCCTCGGTTTAACAAGATTATGATTTAAATATGTACATATACCAAACGGATATTATAAAACAATTCAAAAGTAATACAAGTATTTGAAGCAAATGCATAGCCAATGAAAAACAAACCTTTGCTCCTTCTTTGAGATTGGTCAGGCAAACAATGACAGATACATTCTCCTGCCATATCATCTGCCAGAAATCGGCAATTGTCTTTGGTTTAGGACCTGGAATGATGAATTTCATGTTTGTATAGAGAAAGATTTAACCAAATTATAAGAGAGAATTCAAACTAACTCATTTAAGGTCGATATTTCATAAATTCCTTATGCGGTACAATGATCTTTTTAGCAAATACATGTATAACTTTGTATTTTGTCGACTTGTTTCAAGCTATATTGCCGCATTTTACAACAGAACGTCTCACTCAAACAATACACAGGGCTGAGGGAGGGATGACACAGTTCTGTTGGAATATATACCCTTCCTAGGCATATGATCCACCTCTTGAATTTCCAACGATGTGTTTAATGTCCTTTTTACATATTTTATTTTTATAGCTTTGAGGTCGATCACCTTTTTACATTCTTTTTATCTTCTTAAATGTGATAACATAAACCATGTAAGCTGATTAAATATCTTCTTATCAACATACCTTGGGTTGCGATGTAGCTTCCTTGATTAAGTACATCCTGTCGTCAAATCATTTAAAGAAAAAAATATGCAGATATAATTTAATCTTTGATTTTTAAGGATAGATAGAAAGCAAATGTAAATGCATTCTCATAAAAAGAACAAAACTTACAAAGGGGATTTAAAGAATGCACATTTAGTAGCAGTAGCGTTTTGGGCAATTCAATGTATGCCCATTTGATTAATCTTAGTAGCTCGGTTTTAAGGACAAATGATACCAACATTTTTTTTCTTTTAAAAAGATTTAATATCATGTCACAAGTTTAGAAATGTGGATGGTTCTTCGATTTTTTTCTTCTAAGAACTGGAATATGAAAAAGATTTGGAAAATATTGGTAATATTTCAATGAAAAAACAAATATAGACAAATCACATTCAGTAAAGGTTTACAGGTGAAAACAAATTTCAGAATATGTTAACATGGTGCTAAAAGTGTAATATAAACTTAAGAAAAATATACCAAGCCAGGTGAATTTTATAAGGAAAAGCTAAATGGTAAAAATCAGCCTATGTGATCTTGCTAATTTTTTGTCATTTTGATCTTCCTGGTAGAATTCACCTGGCTAGGTATATTTTTCTCAAGTTTATATTACACTTTTAGCACCATGTTAACATATACTGAAATTTGTTTTCACCTTTAAACCTTTACTGAATGTGATTTGTCTATATTTGTTTTTTTTTTCATTGAAATATTACTAATATTTTCCAAGTCTACTTTATTTTCCAGTTTTTCGGGGAAAAAATTCTAAGAACCATCCACTTTTCTAAACTTGTGACATGATATTAAATCTTTTTCAAAGAAAAAAAATTGTTTGTATCATCTGTCCTAAATATGAATTCTTCATTCTTAAAAGAATACAATTTCATTGTGTACATTTACAAGCAAAACTAGATTTAACTTGCAATATCATTGATAAATAGGTAAAGCTAATTACAGTATAACCATATTTACCTCGATATAATTCGCATTGATATAATCTCCTCCGTGTGTCTTCTCCAAAACAACTCGAGAGTGATCATCTATTTAATATAAACATTAACAGAGTATTTTTATATTGCAAAGTGACTTTTATACTAGATCATTAGATTGAAAAGTAATGTTGGATTGCAAAGGGATTTTTATTTTAAGAATAATAAGTTTTCAATAATTTTATTATTTTAAAAGAAATTGAAAATACTTACAAGGAAATGTTGATGTGTATCTATTTTTGGGTTTATTTTCCGGCTTCTTTGCCTCTTCGCAGGGATAAAGTTCCCCTTTTGGTATTTCCTTTCGAGAACAAAAAGATATAAAGGTTTCAAATTAATTGAAATATTGTTAGATTAGTTGAAAGAATTGCATAAAAAAAAGTTGCATCACTTTAATTTATGACTTTGTGGAAAAAAATTTCTTTGTACATATTTAAGTTTTCACAAAATGTTATTGGAAACTACAGTAAAACATATTTTCGAAGGGTCAAATTTTCGTGGTTTGAGGAAAATGTCTTGGTTCATAATGATTAGATTTCGTTGTTGAAGAATTGTTTAGTAGTAATATATGTAAAAAAGTAAAATGCATTTCGTGGTAGTCAAAAATTCATGGGTCTCTTTATACCTTGAACACCACGAAAATTAACCCCCACGAAAATTTAAGATATAATAGTATTCTTATTATAATTTAAATTAACCGGCACGCTAACGTTGAATATCTAAGCGAACATTTCCGAAGGACTCAACATGGATATAAACAACACAGTATATAAATACTTAAAATAGATTTTTTTTGTCCTGAATATCTTTTAAATTTGATACAGAATATCAATTTGATAAACAATTTCACAGAAAAATGCACATTTAATTTTAATTCACTAAAAAAATCAGAACAGATTCGAATTAAACATGTTGAATTTCAGAATATGATGATTATTATTGAAAATTACTGGATTTTTTTTTTTTATATACTGAAAGGAAAAAGAAACGCAGGGTAAACTTTTGAGATGAATTAAATTTGTTTTTCTTAAAATACTTTTTAGTTTTCATATCTAACTTTTAAAACCATCTTTCAAAAAGATATAACCAAATTCTCATATGATTTTGTGTAATTATTCATGAGTTATTGAAGCTCAAATGACGATACCCCCAAAAAGGGAAAATCGAAAACTCTCATTATCTTCAATGTCCATCTCGTGCATCTGTCAGAGTCTTATTTCTCCTTTGCATGGAATTTCATCAAAGTGTTTATCTTTCAAACCCTGGCTATATTTAGCATGGGTAACCACGCAAAAAAATTAGTCAAACGGCGCGCGCATGCGCCAGTGAGAAGAATACAACAGTAAGTTGACTGGCTCAAAAAACCAAATTGCGGCATTGTTTTCTTTCAAATTCCGTATGAATGTAATGATTATAATCGTGTACACTATAAATGGCTGTTTTTGTGGTAGTAAGGTGGCGATTTAAAAGATGGCAGGACCAACAACCCGCTTGTAACATGGCTCTGTTTCGCGTTAACGTCATCGTCACGGTTGATTGAAATCCACTCCAGACCCTCTCTGACAACGGCTAAAAAGTTTTATGGGGGAAAATTTACAAGAGACTGCTTAGTAAACCGTTGTTGCCTTTTTCATTAATTAGGCAATTCGAAAACAAGACCCCATTGAACTTCCGTAAACTGTGCCAAGATTGCAATAAATTCATAATGTCTCTTAATATTGAAAAACGATGTGCATACCTCATATGCATCAAATAATGCAACAAGATTTGTAGACAAACACGTCGTTATCAAATTGCACGTGTTTTAGGCTTTTTAGAGTTCTCCCTACGTGACGTCATAAATTTTACGGTTGAGTAATTCTGAATACTGATTTTGATGCACAGTAACTAAATTTCCCATCTGACAAATTTTCGTAATTTTCGGTCATGTGGTCAAATTTTTAACGACAATTATGCTACCCTGCGTTTCTTTTTCCTTTCAGTATATATAAACAAGATTGATAAATGACATTGGATCCATGATTGTATATAGCATGTACTTAAAAAATCAAAGATACATGATACTCATGCTTGAATCCAGCATTTTCAGCCGCGGACATCTTGACTATAATGTCCTTCAGATTTCTCACTGGAATAGTTTTGTTTGTTGGGGGTCCTTTTTTCGCAGTTTCTCGCAAAACGCTTGTCCGATTTTTGGCACTTTCCTTATGTTCATCCTTTAAATTGCTGAAAACTAATATATTATTTATTGATGATTACACTTTTTAAAATATCAATTTTTCTTTTCAAATTCTCATACATTCAAGACAATAAATAGTCGTTGCGCCATCGGCATGAAGTGCCCTTATCTTCATTTTGCAGAGAAAATACAACAGGCAAATTTTAGTCAACATTTCATTTATCAAAAAAAAAATTGGAATTTATTATGTTCAAACTAACAAATAAAGAATTTAAAGTAAATACATATGTTTTTCCTTAACATTTTTATTGTACATGTATACTAAGTATTTGCTAAAAAATCGACATTTTAATATTCCGACATAATGGTATATGTATATCAAAATTAGTTGTACTCATTAGTCATGGTAGTCACTAATGTTTGTTTGAGTATTCTATAAAAGACTCTCAACTCTGTATAAAATCAACAAACATGTTAGCTTCTTTTTTATATACTTAAATATATACTGAAACATGACACACTTTAAAATCCAAAGAACAGAAATATTCATTATAGGATTAAACGTTCTTTTTACAGAATTTATCGATGTGTAAACTCTGCCTTTTTATTCACAAACTGAAAAAAAGAACGTTTCATTCTTATAATTCCATTACGATTTTTTTAAATTATTAAAATTGTTTCTCTTTGAGGCCGCCACACAATCCGTTATTTTGTGCGGCGTAGGAATACTTTATGCCACAAAGAAAGGTATACATGTACAAGATGAATATCAATAAAATCCAGCTGAAATTGTCAAAACAATCAATAAATAAACTTATAAAAACTCATTGAATGTTGTTTAAGTCAACAAATATCGTAAATACGCGTATTTTCCAGAAAAATTCGTCCTTGACCATGGCCATGTTGACATCAACGACAACGTCATATCGAAAGTTGCATACTGACGACGTCCTCGATTTGCTCTAGTTAGTTCAAAGATTTAGGGAGAATATGGGTTCTGTAGGATGTAAATATATGAATTTGATGCTGAAAGGCAAGAGCCTGAGGTACGTTTCTTTTCCCTATCACAACGATACCAACTGAGCTGATATGGAACGTCGAGAAAATGACAGCATGGTCAGCGATTTTTTAAAATTCACAATCGTGATCTGACAGTGACATAAACATAATATTCCCGTCTGTCAGTCCTGTTTATCTCTTTTTCATTCATTCATTCATTCATTCATTCATTCATTCATTCATTCATTCATTCATTCATTATTTCAAGTTTCTTGTAATCATAATTTAGCTAAAACGGACTAGAAGTATCTGTTTTCATTGTTTTTACAACAGTCAAGAAAGCGCTTCTGATTGAAAAATTCATCGATGTGTAAACTTTTTCTTGAATTTGTTCTCGTCCAATCAATACACAGGGAATCAATAAATAAAATTAAGATTGGAATTATGGAAAATCAAAGTATACGGGGGGGGGGGGGTGACAGTGGATATGATCATCATTTAACACATTGAATTTAAGTGGTGAAAGTACTTCAGTACGATGTTTTATTTTACATATTTACCTATGTTATTTCTGTATTTTTTATTCAAAGAAATGAGTTGATGATTATCAATAAACTGTACGTTTTTTGTATATGATTACCTATTGTCGAAGATGTTCCCTTCTTTAATTCCATTTGCAAAACCGCATCCTTCTTAGACTTTTCAAAATATTCCGTTAATGCTCTCCTCTTGAACCTGCGTTAAAATATTGATGAAACTTATGCTAATTACGAAATAATCAATCTATCCTACCGATGACGAAATTCATAATACTATGTACATAATGGTACATTTTTGTTAAATCCCTCAACAATTTACATTAACTTTTGAGATATTCAGTCAAACATAATATTTCACAAATGAAATTAATTCAGTAAATATTCAGTCAAACATAAATTTCACAAAGTAAATTAATTATACTTAACAAAAGATAAATATTTTTATGTTCACCTTATAAAAAGGACTGCTAGAAGAACAAGAAAAATAATGACTACGAATGTTCCTAAGACACCACCAATTATTGACGAATTAGTAGACTGATCTTCCAACATATCAACCTTTTCTACGCCTTGAAAAGGAAAACCAAGTTCTTCTAAGAAGCATGTAATTCATGTTATGAATATAGTTTGACATATCATATTTGCAATTTCAGTTTGAATGCGATAGATTTTGCTGGCCTGTAATGATTCCTAAGCATCTTTATGCTGTATATTCTTTCTGCTTTAAAAAATGCTTAATGTACGTAAAACTTCATATTGTTTTCCTACTCGTTAGTTAAAAGCCAAAACAAAATGTCCCTGATACAAAATAGTACTGGGGGACTGAATTGAAATTATTTAAGCGCTTTTGTATTTGTTTATGAATGAATTTTACCATTTCAATTATAGTAGTAAAACTGTTCAAGGTAGTGCACAAAATATACTTATAAGATAAAATGTACGTGGAAACATTTCCACGTACCTTGATTACAAGAGCCGTCAATATGGTAACAAGAATTGTTGCAAGAACAAAGGTTAGAACAGTTTGTACCATAGTATCCCTCCTTGCATACTGAAAAGAAGATGTGAAAACTTTTTTTTAATTCTCTATACCTGGTATTAGCTTGATATTTTAAAACCATTCGTTAACTAATGAAACTTCATGCATTATGATGACAATAAAATGTACTGTGCAACTTCCAATAAACCATGTAATTTCTTACTGTTGTAACACATTTTTCCAACGAAGCCATCTGAACAGCCTTCTAAACATGTTCCATCCAAACGGTCGCATCTTTTATTATTACAATTTTCACTGCACTTTCCATGGCAATTATCTCCATAGAATCCTGTAGGACATGCTGAAAAAGACGTTGACTTTTCTTTTATAATAGTGGATCAACACCAATAGCATTGGAAAAGAAAAGAAAACAAACGAAACACTTACATTTTGACAAAAATCCCCTGTATATCCCGGACTACAACCGTTGTCACAGTAACCAGTTTCTCTGCTACAGTAAGTGTCATTCAGACAGTGACCACTGCAGTTATGGACACAGTCTGGACCGTAAAAGCCACCTTTACATGCTGTAAATTGAAAGTAAATAAATATTTTATGTAAAGTTTAATTAAACTTCGAAAACATGCATTTCCTTTATTATTTTCAGCTCAATATTTAAATTCAGTAAATATTTTTCAGTTTTTGGTAAATGGTATTATATCAAAGTTCATACATGTATTACAGCAGAGAGCTCCGAAAATTTGAAGCAAGGACTTATTTTGTAAATGTCAGGTTAAAGTTGATTATGAGGAAGCACTTTTATTAGTTTAACAGGATAAGGGATTGATTCAGCTATAATTTTGTTTTATCTGAAAACTCTGAAACTACTTTTGCAATAATTAATTACATGTAATTATTAAAATACTTTTTAGAAAAAAATTGTGAAACTTGCAATTGCCGAGTCAAACAAGATATGTTTGTGAAACACTATGCGCCCGGCGGCAACAAAGCTTGAAATAAGCTATTTTAGTATATAGGTCACAGTCAAGGTCACAAGGTTATTGACATTGGTGTCATTTGAAAGAACTTGATTACAGAAGTATGCATACCAAATATGAAGTCTCTACCTCTTATGGTTCAGAATTATGGTGAAGGTTCAAAAAAGCTATTTTTAGCATATAGGTCACAGTCAAGGTCATTGACCTGTGTGTCATTTGTAAGGGATTAATTAATGGAGTATGCATACAAAATATGAAGTTTCTATCTTTCAAGGTGTAAAAGTTATGACGAAGGTTAAAGCTTGGTCACAAGGTCGATGAACTTGGTATCATTTGAAAAAGTTCAATTAATGGAGTAAGTATACCAAAAATTAAGTCTTTCTTGGTTCAAAAGTTATGACGAAGGTTAAAGTTTGCAGACAAACAAACAAACAAACAGTCAGACAGACAGACAGACAGACAGGACAAAAACAATATACGCCTCGGATCTATCGATTCGGGCGCAAAAAAATGGCTATAACTTCAATGACAAAACTTGAGACCTATTTGTACATTGTTGTGCCTTGTAAGCTTGAAACCCTTGTGTCATGATTTTAATTGTTTTCTTTAATGAAGCAATTCTTTAAGTTTAATACAAAAGCTTGTTTTTTTTATTATTTCAATTTTCACCATTCAAATAATATCTTTTTACAGAAAAGATCAGGCATATGATACTAGTACCTCACTTAATTATATTCATCAAAAAACGGAATTGTCAAAAAAGTCACATCTAATTGAATTAATTTTTTTAAAAATTGAACATTAGGACAAACGTTTATGGTTATTTACGTTCATCACATAATCTCCCAATCCATCCATCTGCACAACCGCCCTCACATCTACCCGTCACGTGATGACATGTTAGGTTTTCTCTGCAATGTCCTTCACAGTGATCTTTACATGCCAGGCCATAAAATCCCAATGGACATTCTTTAGAAAAATGAACAGTGAAATATATGTAATATGATCTTAAGGAAATGAGAAAAAGTTTTTAATTATTTAAATCCTCAATTCAATATAGTTTTCGTACTTAAATGACACATCTTTCCTGTCCATCCGGGAGAACACCCCTGACACGTTCCATTCAAAATATCACATTTATTTTCTTGACAATTTTCCGGACAAGGTATATTACAATTACTTCCATAAACCCCTGCCTTGGCACATCCTAAGAAAATGATAAGTACGAAATCGTTAAAAAGATTATTATAAAAACTTTACTTAGTATAATTTATAGACCGAATACTGTCCATTCTATCTGTGAAAAGAATGATTTGTTGGAGGGCCGTCGACAATATAATGAGATCATCAGTAGAATAATAAAATTCAGTATAGGTAGAGGGTTCTTTTTTATGGAGGCTCTTTTAACCCCTTTCATTGCATATACCCATTTCTACGCATCCGACTTGAAAATCAGGTATTGTATGAACAAACATTCATAACTTCGTTAATACTGCAAATATCAGAATAATCCATACACCGTTAGAAAGAGAAAATAATTACAAAGACATAATATACAGAATTTTTTTATTGGTTACAAGTACCACTTATTTGCTAGCTCGGTTGAAACTTTGCGCACTATTCGAGCAATTTTGCCATTATCAAAATCAGTGCGATGGTAAAACGTTATTTGTTAAAATGTTAAATTCTGGTTATTATCCCCCAACCCCACCCAATTCCCCCGAAGTACTTGATATTGTTTTTTTAATGTTCAACATGCCCATAATTTTCAACACAATAATAAAATATTTTATATATATTTAACTAAGCAAAAAACTAGAATGAAACTCTATTTTGAATTTATAAATAAAAATGCCAGAATGATTATGTTGTAGTTCGTTGCCATGGCAACTGAAATGATATTTATATTATCATTTTCAGAAACTACACAATACCTGCTTTCAGAATATATAAACTCTTGTATATACAAAAATTACAAGAAATGCCCGAAAAAATGCATTGAAATCTTAATATCATTTTGTCTAGAAATGCTTAAAATCTTTGCCATGGAAGGGGTTAATGAGTTGAACCTTACGTCGCGGGTTCGAATCCCACTGTGGGACGTGGAGACTGGTCCTTCGGAGGAGACCGTATAAACCGAGGTCCCGTGTTGCAGTAGGTGCTAGCACGAAAAAGATCCCTCCCTGCTCCATGGCTCTAAGTGTCGAGCAAACTGAGACCAAGGAAATTAGTGTAAAAGTTGGATGCGTTAATCCGGGACAATTATCAAAGCGCCCCGGGCAGATTAAATTTAACAGGTGTCAAGGACTTCAGAGTTAAAGACTTGAGTAAACATTTATTTCTTGACAATACAAATAATTAATTAATTGACTGATAAATAACTCTATTGTAAATATTATGAAATTGTATGTAATTTACTCTTTGTATATTTTAGGAAGTTATCAGCTGGCTTTCACCAAGACAGCCACGCCGGACAGCGCTCTCGTCCGCTATATGGCGGAGCCTGTCCCCTTCTTAATAAAATCTGTTAAAGCTGCATATTTGGAGTTCCGTCTTATACATCAGTACAGTGGATGCACAATTTCGACGGTTATAAAACGACAAAATTTGTAGCTCTCCATCGGCAAGTGGTGGCGTCTCCATATGAGTGAAATATTCTCAAGAGGGAAGTTAAAAAACATACAATCAAACATAAAGATAAATTAGACAATTGGATGTTTCATTTCCTATTATGATTTTTCTCCTGAAATTTCAGGCACTGGAAAACAGACTTTATAAAATAACAATGTTCTTGAATTTTAAGGAAACGACTATTTTTAAATACTTTCAGATAAGAAAAATAATAAAAGTGTACTTCTTGATCCAAAATATAAAATATGTTTTGTTATCCTCGGACACAGTTCAATCATTTGACAAAAAGGTTATGCTCTCTATGAGATATTGAAAATAGCTTTTAAAATCTGCTATTTGGTTGAGTTTTTTATAGGATATGAGGAAAATGCCGCAATTTGTGATGTCTTTAATTGTCAAAACATTATGTAATTTCTGATAAATTTGCTATCAACAAGGGTCTAAATGATATTTAACACATTTCCAACTTAAACTAAGCAGTTTCACTTTTTCAGAAATTTACAAGGACTTAAGAAGTCCTAAATAAATTTTGATCTCTATGAAGAAACAATGCACTTAACCTCTAACTTCAACTTCACATAACTGTGTATATATTTGATATTTGTATCCATCAGGGTAGGTAACTCCGTCCAGTCTTTCATTGTAATAGATGACGTAACGACCATATACAATACACGTTGTATTAAACTCCAAGGGAGGTAATGGAAGTGTGTTCTTGTAGCAAAGGTGGCCGTCTTCTTTCTTGGGAGTATCGGATATATAAAGGGAAAATCCAGCAAAACGACCTCTTTGTCTCATTACTGAAAATCAAATTAAAAACAATTTATTTGCGTTTCAAATCATTAATTCTTTTATTTTTCACCTTTTATATATGAATATGAATACATTAAATTATGTGTTTGACATGTAACACTAATTATGATTTCGAATTCATATAAAGTTTAACCGTTTTTTTTTTTTAATAGAATCGGAGTCTCAATGCCATAATAAATATTCAAACACATAATTTAATGTGTTCATATATAAATAGTGATTATTATAAACAGATATTCTAATTTGCATCTACATGTTCATGTGTACACCTATAAAATATATTTTTGTCTTTGAGTATGCGATTTTGTCATAATTTGTTTCATTGACTTTTGAGCTTGAATACCGTTCGTTAACGCCATATATTTTTTTTTGTAAGTAAACTTTTAGATGCTGAATTAATTAGGTTTCAATAAAATGAATTCAAAATTTTATAATTGATAAGATATATTTAAACATGAAAATGAAAAAAAATAATTGTATATTTTGCAATATTCTTTCATATGAATTTAAAAAGATTTCTTATTGTCAAAGTGTTGTTTGATCTAGAATCTAGAAAACTTTTGTTTATCATGTTCAAATCTAAAGTTATATTTCAAGAGGGTAGCGTTCATGATACATGTATTATTAATTACCCGTAGTAACCTGCTTATTTTTTGATGATCGTCAATGTCCCTGAATGCCAACGGCTAACAGGTATTTGATTTTTAACAATTTGAAGTTTTTAAAATGTTGGATCGATAGATCCGAGGCGTATATTGTTTTTGTCCTGTTTGTTCGTCTGTTTATCTGTTTGTCTGTTAGTGTGTCTGTCTGTTGTCAAATTTAACCTTCGCTATAACTTTTGAACCATGAGAAATAGAGGCTTCATACTTGGGATGCATACTTTACCAAGACCTTTGTGAAGTTATCCATGTGTTTTAAAATTATGCGATAAGAATGAAAATTATAGGAAATAGCACAAAGGACCAGGTAACAAAATATTACCTTTTCATTATTATTTGAGACTTGTGGAAGCGTGATCTCACATTCTAATTTTCATTTTCTTAACATTGCCATTATGTAACACAACACTTAAACGTGCTTGTAAACTAAGAAGGAACGACGTGATTATCGTCTCCTTTTAAATTCATTTGAATAATGAAATACACACTATAAATAGTGATACGACTCTAAATGTAAAATGAGGATATAGGGTCCTTTAGATATAAACTTTAAAAATGAATACCTGAAAACACAGTGAGGAGTATATCGAATGAAGAAAAAATCTTACTGTATCTATTGTAATCTTTAAATTGTATACTGATGCTGTAAATACTGCGAGTTCCATTAAGATCTACAGACAATGATGTTGTTTCACTTTGGGAGTTCTGACCAATGGCATCAGTATTTGTGCATGTATCTTTATTTCCATCTGTTGCAGTTGTTGGTCCACATGGAGGGTTACATAGGTGGTAAATTGGTAATATTGAAGATGTTTGATCTTTGGATAAACTATCTGTAAAAAAAAGAAAATAAAAGAGGAAGGACATCACCAGGTCTAGAAGACAGTTGACCAATTCATTGTGCAACCCAATCAATATGCTTTAATAAGAGTAAATTAAGTTCAGAAACTGAAAAACGGTAAACACTATTGTGTTTCATTTGATTTATAAAGTAAAAATTAAAATAATTTTTGAGATGACATGGCCAAAATTTCTTTGGCATTCGTAGTCTTTTTCGTCACGTTTTATAGCTAAAATTTAATATCATATGATTGTTAATTAAAGTTAAAATAATTACAATTTGATGAGGCGCTGAAATAGAGATTTACGGCTCATCTGATTAGATTTTATAACGCCTTTATAACGATTTGATAATGCACAGTAATAGAGACATTCTATATGAAATGTACATACTAGTAATGAAATAATTTACAATTATTTTACTTAAACAGTTTAGTTGTACGAAATATTGCCGTTTTTGTTTATTTTGTAAAAAAGGGAATATATAAAACAAATTCCCCTGCCGAGTGGTTTCTAAATGGTTACTACCAGGTGTTTTTTTTAGTGTCGGGTCCTTTATTTGTTGCTAATGTGCACGCAAATACGACCGGCCAGTTCTGTTCCTGTTAGTCCTATGTAATTTCCCTCAAATGTAAGCACCTCATACAATAACATTTTTTAGGTTTACACATCATAGAGGATTTTGCCGTTTTTAAAAATCATTGATTAGCTTGTTTGTAAAACATGACAGGTTCTGCATGGTGAATCCTCGCGCTTTGATAGTTACAGTTTTCTCCTTTTTTTTTTTAATTTGGTGTTTTGATTTGCTCACAATTTTTATCAATAAATGGGACTTTTGAATGTGATAAACATTGGACGTTTAAATAAATATTTTCTATCCTCACCTCTCATGCAGTCACCTTTGCTACCTCATTATTTCATAAGTCTTTGACAAAAAGATATAGCAATACATGTTATTGGCGGGTTTCAATGACTATTAAAAGACCTTCAACTCTTGATGAGGAACGTTTTTCTTGAGATCCCTAAGTCCATGCCCATAAAAACGTAAAATGAAAATAAATATAGGATCTCCTATGATTTGTTATCGGGTATAATTTAATTTTCAACAAACGGGTTGAGTATTATCCTCGGGCCTTCGCATGGTATAAAACAATACACTCAAAAAATTGGATTATAATCATATTCAACTACAAATGAGTTTCTTTTTATCCCATGTTTTATACATCATTATCGACGTTTTACACTGTTTTTATTCTAGAATCCACTTTATTTTACATCCGCACTCTCACACAAAACCCATTTTATAGTTACATCAGTGGAATATTAAAAAAATCTCACTAGTGATATCCACGGGAAAAAGGCATAAGTATGGGATAATAGATGATTATTCTTAAATGGTTTTCAGATGGATCTAGGTGGGAGGGAGTGGGGTGACTAGAATAAGACATAATCAATGAAAATGTTAGTCTTTACAATTGTGACTCAATTGGATTAGAAATGAATAATGAAAATATGCGTCGATGTGAAGGGATATGACAAAATTATATTAATTTATTGCGAAGAGGATGCGTACAACAATTTAAAATAAAAAAAAATCGTTTGGCTTATTTGTTGAAAGTAAATGACTTGTAAGGGTATACATCCTACGTACAAGTTAGGTCATTTCACAAGAAATTCAAATACATGTAGGTATATATGCTTTCATTCCTTTGGGCTATCTTTTAAAAAAAATCATTGCTGGTCCTCTCCCAACTCAAGGTTAATTTATTGGTTAGGTAGATAGGTGTGAAAATCTTCTTTTTTGGGAAATTTTCGAAATATTTCTTGACAGGATAAAAGGAATAAAAAAAAATTTAGTGTCACGTTAAGAAAACAATTTTCAGTCAATCAGTCGGTCGGGAGAGGACAGTTAAACATTTTTAATGCATTTGTGAAGCACAGTAGACTTAATAATACAATCGGTAAGTTTCATAAACTATTTTCTTTCTTAAAAGAGCATTTGTAATCATATCCCTATATATACATGAGTTCAAACAGGGATTTAAATTTGTTCAATGTTTAAAATATGCGCAGTTGAGAAAAGTAAAATTTAAAGGACAAATGTTACTGCAAATAATTATGTAATATACATTTGTATATAATAAGTAACAAATAAAATGTAATGTTGCACATACCATATCCATTTACATGAGATATTCCAATGAGAAGTATTACTATTCTATAAATTATGGCCATATCACCGACATGCTTTGACAAATGACGCGGAAACTTTAACGATTTTAAGGCATGTGTAAAATATGGCAGCTAATTATTGCAATATTTGTAGAGTTATTTATGGAAAATAATATATTTACCCAGTGCAAATGCTTTATTTTGACGACGTTCAAGGACTGTCGATATACGAAACTTTATTTTAATAATATGTGGTTATACATGTTAATTGTTTCTTTCAGATATAATACCTAGTTAATCTAACTATTGTGCCTAGTAAAGCGTTTGTCGTGATTAGAAATCATTCTGTTTACAGGCTTAGATACTCACTGTGAGTAGTAGGTGTCGAGTGGAGCGGGGGTAATATAGATATATGCCTACCAACCTAACCTAGTGAAAGTTACTAATAAATTCTCTATTTACTACAATGCACTTGCCAAACTACTAGTTTGTTCGACAATCATATTTGGTGGTATATTTCTTTTTCTAATGCCATCTTTTTGCTGTATACTTACTGTTTAGTGTTTATATATATTTTTTGGCAAATATTGTTTATCTGTTCATAAAGGGGATCCGTATATACATGTAATTCATATGTAATTGTGCGATAACCTTTTGATCTGATCCCCTATCATGTTATGTATATATATAATATGTTTCTTATTTCCTCATTTGTAATAAATGACATCGGAATTCAGCAAAAGCAGCTGCGGTGAGATTGTGCAGCATGAGGAAACAAAAAAAATTAATATTATGTAGTAAATCTACTCAAGACCCAGTAAAACTACTTTTAAGGTTGATTGTATTGACAGTAAGTTTCATGAATATCTTTGAAAAATATTGCTGATTTCTTAAGAAACAATCTGGCCCTGAGGTTATAAAACTTTAAGCGTACTCATACTCCCAACTCAAACTCCAAACTCCGAGTATGAACTCCACTGAGTAGGTTTCTAAATTTGAGGTTATAAAAATTTGGAGTACAATCTCCACTGAGTCAAACTCAACGGATTTGGAGTACGAACTCGAACTCTGGAAAAGGAAATCTTAATTTAGCTTTTGGAGGTAAAAATTATGTAAACTTACATATCTAAATGAGGGGACATGCACGTGAAAGTGCCCGGTATACATGTATGCCATATGAGGGCAATTTATGTACATCTGCATATGAAAATAAACGCCTGCTTCATTCTGTCATTCCAAAAATGGAAAGAAACACACAATCTACACAGGATTAAAAAAAAAGATTAATATTTTTCTTTCCTGCATATTTTAATATACGAAATCATTAAAATATTCTTTTAAAAGTTCTTTCATTGAAAAGTGTATGCACGGTCCACTTCTTTGATTTTATTGAATTTCATGATTTTTTGTTTATACATGTATTTTAATTTCTTATACAGTACTTTATCATTCAGAATAGATAAAAAAAACACCAGTAAAGTAATCGATTTGATACTCTTATTTATAAACATTTTTTTAAGCAATCTAATTTATAAATATGAGATCAAAGTAAGAGTAAAAGACAAAGGCTGCAACATAGATTTTGAAATTATGTCATCATATACCTAATGCATCGCCAAATCGGTTCCCTGTTCAGAACACAGGCACCTGACAAATGGATGCTATTAACCCCCCCCCCCCCCCCCAAGCTTCTGAAAAAAAATTTAGACATAAAACCTTATCAAAAATACATGATTTCCTAGTCTATCATTCTTATATTTCAATATCTGCTGTCATTTTACGCTTCTGGTTAGATTTGGAGATTGAACCTATAAGGTATATAAATAGGTCAAGTAGTTCAGAAAAATTTTGTATTTAATACAAATTCTCTGATTCTGGGGGAAAGGGGATTACATCACCCATTCGTCAGGCAAGTGGTTCTCAACTGGTCAAACGACTAGACTAAACAGTTAAACCTACATGTACATATATCATTTCAATAACTTAAAAAATTAAAAAAGAAAAAAAAAAAACTGAAATCCAATGATAATGTAGACATAGAATACTGTAGATTCCATATTTTTCGCAAGTACTTCTTATCGCGAACTGGCTCTTTAACGTAAAATCGAAAGAATTATAATTCGCGAATGGATGGTGAATTAACAGAATTTCATAGATATCAGCACCATAAAAATAACAGCGAGTAATATTTTTTCGCTAGTGTTGCTTCTCGCCAAATTACGCGGAAATTAATTTCTCGCGTATAATTAGGAATCTACTGTATTTACGATGGGGTAATCCGTATGGCGAACAAGAATAATGGTGCAAACGGATCATGTAAGCCGGTAGATAGGGTGAAATAACCCAATACATGACACTTGAGATTGACTCTGAGGTTGGTTTAGAGCATACTTGAAAAATCTTGAGTTTGTACTCCGTTGGAGTTTGAGTATGAGTATAATGATTTTTTATAACCTCAACTTTGGAGTACGAGTATGAATTTGGAGTACAGAGTTTGAGTTTGAGTACGAATTTGAACTCCAAAAAGTTTTATAACCTCGGGGCCTGTTATTGATTCAAGTCATAGGTCATGTAGGTGTTCCTAGTAAATTATGTGACTGGTCGTAAGTAGCCCGATAGTGTCGGCCAATCAACTTACAATACCAGAAAAATTTGGTCGCCCGACCATCCGCTTAAATGTGACCGAGGCATGAGTCGAGGGAGGACAAACAGACACTAATTGTAGACTTTCGTGGGCTTTCCATATAATGTTCTGTCCGCGCAGGGGTTGCACTCTGCAGTCCTCATGCATGGAGAATGGTATTCTGATATCTCTCCGATA